TTTTTTTAAAGGATGTATATCATGCCAGATGGAGACTGAAACTTTCCTCTTACAGGAAAATAAACAAGAGGGAAATGGCCCATTTATCACCCCCACCACTGGCTCAGAAGGAGGTTTTAGGCACAATGCTAGGCTGATAGCTTGGTAGAATAGAAAGACATGCTAGCTACTTTCCATGACCTTTCAAGATATTACTTTCTTTTAGCTGTAACATAGTGAGCTAGTGTGGTGCTACATGCCTGCAAATTCCAGCCCCAAAGTGACTGCAGAGGTAGGAGGATCACTGCGAGTTTGAGGCCAGTCTCAAAAAAGAAAGATGGAAAGGAAGAAAGGGAGGAAGGGAGGGAGAGAGAGAAGGAGGGAGAGGGTGAGAGAGGAAGGAAGAGAGGGGGAGAAAGGGAGGGAAAAAGGAAGGAAGGAAGAAAGGAAGGAAGGAAGGAAGGAAGAAAGGAAGGAAGGAAGGAAGAAAGGAAGGAAGGAAGAAAGGAAGGAAGGAAGGAAGAAGTTTGGTTCAAACAACAAAAATCTATCATAGTTTCTTTCTTTTTTTCCAGTTTTTTCAAGACAGGGTTCCTCTGTGTAGCCTTGGCTGTCCTGGAACTCGCTCTGCAGACCAGGCTGGCCTCTAACTTAGTCAGCCTGCCTCTGCCTCCTGAGTGCTGGGATTAAAAGTATGATACCATCCAACCATACTAATTTATTAATGATGGTTTAGACCAACAACACACACACCAAAAGCTGTAATCAATGCTACTGGCCAAGTGTGTAATAGCAGAGGATGTAGCTAGCATATTTGAGCCTCCCAACCCTTTTGATCCTTAGCACCACCACACCAAAAAAGAATTCAAGGCTGGGCATTGGTGGTGCACACCTTTAGTTCCAGCACTTGGGAGGCAGAGGCAAATGGTTCTGAGTTTGAGACCAGCGTGGTCTACAGAGTTCCAAGACAGCTAGGGCTTTTACATAGAAAAACTCTGTCTCAGAAAAAAAATTAAGTGCTAAATTTGTTTTAGTTGGATACTGAAATCATGCAAAACAAAAATGTCATGATACTGTAAACCTGTGTGATCCCAGTACTCAAGAGGTTGAGAAAGGAGGATTCGGAGTTTGAGTATAGCCTGGGTGATTGGGTAAGATCTTGCCTCAAAACCAACAAACAAACCCAAATCCGAGTCTGGTTCTGTTTAGTAACAGAAGCATTGAATCTCCTGTTTCCTCTCTCCACCCAATTAAACAATCTGCTCTTACCCACCTGTCACCTGGTTGCCAGGAGCTGGCTCTTGCTTGGCATAGGGGCTGAAGAGCCGAACAGTGTTGTAGAGGTGACTTCTGCTGGGTTTAGGAACCCCTTCCTTGGTAGCATACGTCTTATAGAGTTTTTTCATGTAGTAGAGTGCTCTGGAGTCGGGCTGCAGCTTAGGGGCCTCACCTCGCCTATCAGACAGGACCTTAAAGAGGGGTGGCAAGAGGCCTGACCTGTCGGTCTCTTCTACAGGCAGCAGCAAGGACCAAGGATCTGCCTCAGACTCCAAAGCTGCACGGGCTCTGGTCTGGGCTTCTCCCCTAGGAGCCTGAGAACTGAGGCTAGTGAGAAAACATAGCCAGGCAAAGCAGCAAAATCCAAACAGGAGTTTGCTGGGAAGTGCCATGGCTTGGGAGAACTAAGAGGGAACGCATCTCCCCATGCCAGTCTTCTTTCTAAGGACTGAGAAGGCCCTGGTGTGGCCCTTAAATAAAATCTAAGTGTGGAGGCCCTGCTTCACTTCTGTAATCAGACCTCAAGGATGCCTAGCTGTAAGTCATTTTTATCAGCTCTACAGCAATCAGCTGTTACCACATTTTAATACTTTTTTCTCATTAGACACAGATTTATCTACTTAGCTTGTTTCCCATTTCCCTGACATTTACTTCAAACCCATCAAATATCATTATCTTCATATATAGCTGAAAACCCAAGAGAAACCCAAAGAATTAGAAAAAAAAATTTCTTAGGGCTGGAGATGTAACTGCAGAAAAATTAGGTTTGGTTTTTTTCTCTTGATTCACCATCTCCACTTCCTTACTACTGATTACTTACTACATAGTGAGTTGGAGGTGCAGGAAGTCACGGTACAGAAATTCCACAGTGATGGTGGCCTAGTGTGTAGGGGGGTGGGGTGGGGTAGGAAGGAAGTTGGCACAACAGCTACTTGCAGTGTGCTTTAAAAGAGGACACTGTGTGTGTGTGTGTGTGTGTGTGTGTGTGTGTGTGTGCGCGCGCGCGCGCACATGCAGAGGCAGGTGAATCTCTGTGAGTTCAAGGCTAGCCTGGTCTACAGAGAAGGCTGTAGGAGAGGCAGTGCTACATAATGTGGAAACCCTGTTTCAAATAGAAAGAGGCCATCATGGGGCTGGAGAGATGGCTCAGTGGTTAAAGAACACTGACTGTTCTTCCAGAGGACCTGGGTTCAAATCCCAGCACCCACATGGTAGCTCACAACTGTCTGTAATGCCAAGTTCTGATATCTTTACATACATGCAGGCAAAACACCAATGCACATAGAATTATTAAAACAAATAATTAATTAAAACAGAGGACATCACCTTTAATCTTGACCAATTTAAAAATACAATATCCTAACAATATCCTAGGACTGGGGAGATGGCTTGGCAGTTAAGAACAGTGGTTGCTCTCCCAGAACAAACTATGCAGCTCTTGACCATCTGTAAGTCCACTCCCAGGACATCCAACACCTTTCTCCGTTAGGAATGTAAAAACCCATTATAAAATGAAAATAAATAAATCATAAGAAGAAAAACAACAACAATAATACACACACATACACACCCCTACAAATATCTCTCTGGATGTGGCAAGATAGCTCCAAGAGTAAAGGCACCTGCCACCAAGCCTAATGACCAAAATGCACTGGTCAAAGGAGAGAAGAGACATCTACAGGTTGTCCTCTGACCTATACTCACATATGCCCCTGCCCTTGCATACAAAATCTCTCTCTCTCTCTCTCACACACACACACACACACACAAATGCAGACAAACATTGCACCTCATCTTCAGAACAAGAATGTCACATCAGCCTCTCCTCATAAAAGGCAATGACAGTCTGAGGACATTTCACCAAGTCTGCCTCATCTGAGGCCTTCTGTTTCATGAGAAACATTAATTCTCTACTATTGTCTGTGGCATGGATTATTCGTTTAGGATCAACACCTTTGGCAAAACCCTCTGTCAGCAGCATCTCTCTTCTTCAATTTGTTATCAGATTCAACGTCAGATAAAAGTTTTCCTTTTTTGTACCATCTTTCCTTACCAGCTTTTTGAGAACTAAGAAATGCTTCAATTAATTCTGGACAATCTAAATTTTCTTCTGATCCCCAAGTATCATCAGCATCTGTGAACCCCTTCCACTTGAGGAAATACTCTACCTTCCCATTCACTACACACCGGTCCAGGACTTTTTCTATCACAAAATCTTCAGGCTCTGCCTCCTCAGCTTTTTTATTGTTTCTATTGTGTTTCTTTCCCATTTTTTGCAATGTAATTTTATTGGAGGACATTTGTTTTTCTTTAAATCTAAGACTTGAGGAGTTCCTCACTCAGATGCTCCCGGCTTTAGATCCTGCAGAATCTCCCAGCTGCGTTCCTAAACTCAGCCACATCTGAGGGGCGAAATATTTATTTTAAAATGTGATGAAAAGTACAATATGCTGGTGTCCTTGTTTTGGTCTACAATTCATGCAACCATACTCTCTGATCGAAAGGTTTTGAGATATATAAATGAAAGTCTTATTTTTTTAACCAGCCACCCAGGTGGTAGAATTCACGACAGTATTTTAGTCCTTGACTAAAGTACTTGTGTTTTCAGCCTTGGAGATAGACCAGGCTAGATAACATTTTAGGAAAGCCAGGGGCAGGTGCACCATGAAAGGAGGGGCTACCTAGTGCCCTTTGGCAGGTGACTATATCTGACTATCTTCTAGGAGAAAGTCAAGCCACACTCATATCACAGGGTACAAAATCAGTTTGTGCAGCACCAGATTAATGAAGCTCTGAAGCACACTGCCAAGCAGCCCCAGTTTGATCACCAGATTATATAAGGCCAGTTATCCCATTTATAGCCACTGGGAGGAATACAAAGGTCCGTGAGTCCCACAGGACAATATTAGGAGAATGCACTTCAGGGAAAACACACAGCTCCCTAGAGACTGGGCTCAATGACACACCCGGACTGAACCCCACGACCACGGTCTGACAACTCCCAGACAAAGAGCTGATGACTTGTGACTCAACTGGGAGAAACGTTTGTGTCACATCTTCGACAAGTCTATAGGCTGACAGTGTTTCCCGAAGACCTAGGCCCAAGTCCCCAATTTTGTACTGCAGTCAGTAAGCGTCTGACAACAGCTTTGCGCTCTTTTGGTTACGGGGATTCCATACACCCGGCACTCCTCCGCTAAGGGACAGCCAGGAGGACAAAGTCCCTTTTTCTCATCTTTGGGCAGCTTCTACCTCTGGTATCCCGAAAAGACCTGGGTACTGAGCAGAAAGGAACAGTCTTGGAACGCCCACAGGCTCCTAAGCCCCGTCCATTCCCATAACCACGCCCTACGCATTTATAGGCCCCGCCCCGCTCCCCCCCTAGACCTGAGCCTCACAGATCCACCTAAGCCCCGCCCACTGCTCATAAAAACCGCGGCCACGCACTACCAAGCCGCCATTCCTCTCAAAGCCCCGCCCACGTACCACTAGCCCCGCCCACAAGCCTTCTAGGCTGGGGCCTGGCACAGCTGCCCCGCTAAGCCCTGCCCACGTGCCGCTTGAAGGGCGGGTTCTGCACCTATAAGTTCCGCCCCTACCCTCTAGGCGAGGGCCACGCCCACTCAGGTCAGCTGTTCAGGCCATTTCCTCTTTGGGAACGGAAGTCACCGGAAGTGACTTCATGATCTCCAGGATCAGCTTCCGCGCCTCCCGGAAGTGACGTGAAGCCAGGCTCCGCGCAGTGGAGGTAAAGGTGACCTGGTGCCGGCGGCCGGTACGGGGCAGTGGGGATTCCTTGTGGGCCTTACCCACGTTTGTATCCTCCGTCCTTAGGGCCGCCGCCACCATGGGCCGCGAGTTCGGGAATCTGACGCGGATGCGGCACGTGATCTCCTACAGCTTGTCACCCTTTGAGCAGCGCGCCTTTCCGAACTTCTTCAGCAAAGGCATCCCCAACGTGCTGCGCCGCACTCGCGAGCGCATCCTGCGCGTGGCGCCGCGTGAGTGCGGGGCGGGCGGGGTAGGGACGCGCGCACCTTCCCTTCCAACACCCTCGAGACGACAGACGTGGAGTTCCTACCACATCGAAATGACAGGCCTAAGGTCACTTGGAGACTCCAGCGTCTCCCTCTGAGGTCATCGCTGTCCACTATCAGTGATGAAATGCTGATGCAATGTCTTGTGTTAGATATGCGCCGGTTGTGCTGACGGTTTCATGGCATTGTGAATATGCCAAGAACCCGTGGAAGGTGCACTTGGATTTGATGGCGAGGTGGAGGCGCGATCTTGCTGCCTTGTGCTCGGGACTGCTGGCTGGGATTATAGGCGTGTGCCAGCACAGCAGCTTGAAATGTACTTTTTAAAATGGCGAAGTTTATGTTAGGTGAATTTCATTTTCAGGTATGTCACAAAACTTTTCATGTAGTGTTAAGGAGGAGAGAGACTAGGAAGGTCAAGGCCAAATGTTCTGGGTTGATGTCTTCGTTGCTTATAAAATGGATGTGTAATTTAACCATTTTTAACCTCTTATTAAAAGTAATTTCTGGACATGATAGTGCCTTCATTTAATCCCAGGGTTCCCAAGGCAGAGGAAGGTGGATATACATAGTTTGAGGCAAGCCTGGTCTACATAGGGAGTTCAGGCCAAGGGCCATATAGTAAGAGCCTGTCTCAAAACAAAAACATAGAGCTGGAAATGGCTTGGAAGTTAAAAGCACTTGCTGCTCTTTCAGATGATCTGGTTGTTTCCAGCTCCTACAACGTGATGCACAACCACCTGTGCCTCCAGTCCTAGGGGATCTGACACTCTTATAACCTCAGTCACAGGGCATACGTGTGGTACACAAACATACATACAGGTGAAACACTCATAAAATATGAAAAGCAAAGGCCAAGCATCCATGCCTTTAATTCTAGCATTCAGGAGGCAGAGGTAGGCAAGTTTCTGTGTATTGGAGGGCAGCCTAGTCTACATATTTACTTTCAGGACAGTCAGCTAAATATTGAGACCTTGTCTCAAAAATCCAAAGACAGCTGTAATTCCTGCATTTGGGAGGGAGAGATAGGCGGGGTCCCTGATCAAGGACAACCAGGAGTATGCAGAGAAGCCCTGTCTCCAAAACTAAACAAAGTTGAAAGCTAGTGACAGTAGAAAGGCAGGCAAAATGGTTGAAAGTTTAAAAAAAAAAAAATGACTGTGCTGGGCAGTATGGTGCATGCCTTCAATCCCAGCACTGGGGAGGCAGAGGCAGGTGGTCTCTGTGAGTTCAAGGCTAGCCTGGTCTACAGAGTGAGTTGCAGGACAGGCTCTAAAAGCTACAGAGAAACCCTGCTTCGAAAAACAAAAATGAACGAGCGAAAAAAAGGATAGAGAGCAGACTTGGTACATGAACCGATGAACCCCTGGTGGATCTCTGCTTTGAGGCCACTCCAGTTTCTATTACCATATTTTAAAAATTGGGGGCAGTGGGGGAGCTGAGGGACTACATGTTCCATGTGCTCACAGCTTCTTCTCTTGATTATTACAGCATTTGTAATGTTTTATCTGATCTACACGTGGGGGAACCAGGAGTTTGAACAGTCCAAAAGGAAGAATCCAGCCATGTACGAAAATGACAAGTGAGCAGCACTCATGTGGATGACAGTTTCCTGCCTTTCAAAGACCCGTCTCTGGGAGAGAAGTCTACATTGCGGTGTCTTGCAGACACAATAAACTACTTACAGGCTTTCCTGTTGTGACTTTGCTTATTTGAGACCAGGTCTCACTCTGTGTACCTAGCTGGCCTGGATGGATGGCCTAAGAAATCCGCCTGCCTCTCCCTCCTAAGTCATGGTGTTCAACATCATGCCTGGCCCAACGTTTTGTTTTGTTTTGTTTTACAGGCAGAGTCCTTAGTGGGACTGGTAATATTCAAGTCATGATGGCTCCTTTCCCAGTACAAGTCCTGAATGGGGTTTGGGGCAGGTGTGAGTGAGTGACATGGGCTCTGGAATGTCAACTCTTGACCCTCGCTCCCATTATAACTAAAGCCTAGTAATGACACTGTAATTAGGATGTCAGGTGTTCTTCCTACACACACAAAGGAACTTTTAACTCACAGCAGCGTTTGAAGTAAGCGTTACAATCTCTTTGCAGATGAGGAATCACAGTTTAAGTACTTTGCCCAGAATCACATGACAGTGAGTTAGAAGAGCCAGGTACAGGTGCATGCTGTTTTTTTCGTTTTGGTTTTTCGAGACAGGGTGTGCCACCAACGCCCAGCTTCCAGTGCGTGCTCTTAAAACCATGCTCTGCTGCTTTGCTCCCCAAGGAAGGCCTTGCTTAGTCTGAGGGGTTTGGGCTGTGAAAGAGATGATGCAGTCCCTTGCCTGCTACAAGTGTCAGTCAGGGAACCATAGTTGACCGTGTCATGGGGCCAGTCCAATAGTGGCTTTTAGTTGTATGTGGACCACAAAGTCTAAAAAGACTCATCCCTTTATAGAAAGGTATGCAGCTGCTCTAGAGTCTCTGGATGCCCCTATTTTCTCTTCCCCTGGGTGATGATAGGGTGGCTGTGCTTGGCAGTCCTGAGCCTCTGGCCCTGTTAATTGGCTAAGGATGCTTGCTGCATATTGCAGCAACTCACAGTGCGGTGTCTGACTTGGATGTTTTTGCCTGACGATTGCTGGCTAGTGCCAAAAGTCCTCAGAAGAGGACAAATGACTTCCAACAACAGAAAATCTAAGTGGCTTGGACTGTGAGGCAGCATATGAGAAATGGCTGTGTCTCATAGACTTACACCCATGCCCTTAAACCAGTGGTTCTTGACGTCCCTGATGCTGTAACCCTTTAACAGAATTCTTTATGTTGTGGTGACCCCAGCCATAAAATTTGTTTTCATTGCTACTACATAACTAACTTTTCCTACAGTTATCAGTTGTAATGTATCTGTGTTCCAGTGGTCTTAGGTGACCCCTGTGATAAGGTCTTCCAGCCCCTCCCCCAAACAGGTTGAGACCCACAGGTTGAAAATCACTTAAACTGTCACTTCTGGAACTTTCAAGGTCTGATCTATAAAACATGTCAACACAAAGTTAGCTGTATCGGAGATGGTGGAAATGAGTGAGCCCAGAGACATCACCAGAGTTGTGCTCATACCCAGTTCAGTTTCTTGTTTGGCTATGTCCATATTTATTCCTGAGTCTTAAAACCCATGGGTCATAGACTCCTTTCAGGATCTGAAATAAAGCCAGGTGGTGGTGGTGTATGCTTTTAATCCCAGCACTTAAAAGGCAGAGGCAGATGGAGCTCTTGAGTTTAAGGCTAACCTGGTCTACAGGAGTTCCAGAACAGGTAGGGCTACACAGAAAAACCCTGTCTCAGGAAAACAAGTAAGCTGCAAGCCCCAAGGAGATGGAGATAGAGCTGCACCCATCTTGACTTTGGGCACACCAGTTCAGAAGACTAACTTCAGTTTTCTGAGCCCAGAGCAGGTCACGAGCCTCTTGGTCTGACCTTTTGAAAATAGGTATTACTATATGTGTGTGCACATGTGCCACAGTGTGCATGTGGAGGTCAGAGGACAACTGGTGATGTCGGCTCTCTGTTCTATACTTCACCTTTATCTGAGTTCACTGGGGATCAAACTTGGGTCGTCATTGCTGGATGGCAAGAGCCTTTACTGGGGAGCCAGCCCTCCAACCCATTGAGAGTGCCAGGGTAGCTCTGCTGCAAGTGCTTTGGTGTTCAGAGGTTCTGCTTATTGCTGAAACTGTCCCTTACAGCTGGACTGTGTCCCTCACAGTGTTCCCCTTTGAGCTTGGGGCCAGAGGACTCAGCTGTTTGACAGGTACCCAGACCATGACTGACTCTACATTATGTAGGATCTGGAGCCACTTTAGCAACTTGTTCTATTTGTAGGACAACATAAACCACTACCCCACCCCCACACTCCAGTCACACAGTGTGTGTGTGTGTGTGTGGGTAGGTAGGAGGTTGATATTAGAGTCTTCTATCACTATCCACTGTATTTTTTGTTTTGTTTTTTGAAACAGGGTTTCTCTGTGGCTTTGGAAGATGTCCTGGAACTTGCTCTTGTAGACCAGGCTGATCTCAAACTCATGGAGATCCACCTGCCTCTACCTCCCTAGTGCTGGGATCAAAGGTGTGCATCACCACTGCCTGGCCTCCACTGTATTTTTTGAGACAAGGCACCAAACCTCAGATTCAAGCCAGCAGAGCTGGCCATAGAGCCCCAGGGATCTCTCTACCTCCGCATGCTAGGATTGCAGACCTGCAGCCATACCTGGCTTGTTATGTGGGTGCTGGTGATCTGAACTTAGATATTCTGTCTGTCTGCCTAGCTCCTTGAGTCAAGCCTTTTAAGGACAGATAGCTGCTATGGTCCCAATACCCACAGCTTCTAACCCTAAGATACAGCAGCTCTTTTGTCTGCTGTGATGCAATCATTTGTTCCATTTAGCTCTTTTTGGGAAAGCCCATGCTCCTGCAGGCACCCACCCCCCCCTTTTCTCTGTGGGCTGCAATCTGGGAAAGGGATCTCTCTTCATTCTGCTGGCATTGTAGTCAGGACATAGGCCTACCTAGTACAGGCCCAGACAACTGCCAGTTCCAGCCTAAAATAACCAAATGCACTTTGAACCTTTGTTGAAATTTTACCTGGAAACATTTTTCCATTTCCAAGTCTTTCATCTTTTATTAGGCACCCCCATGCTCAGGGACAACACAAAAGTGTCCCATTAGCAGCAAATCTTAATGAGCCCCCCTATATACCCTATACCCTAAAGGTCTTCAGACAGCTCAAGTGTCTACCCTTTCTCCTGTTTCAGTCCAGCACTCTTCTCTAAATATCCATGGGGTTGTTTCTGGATAGAGTGATCAAACTCTCCCTAGCAAACCTGTTTGTCTTCCTCTTCTTGTAAATTAGTCATTTGAATCTCCAGATGAGTCCATGAGGCCTGAAGCTGTCTCATTTCACTGTCAGAGCAAAAGACTAAAGCTGAAGAGGGGAAGGACTGGCCTGTGGTCATACATTCTGCAGTCTGCAGGTGCTGCCTCCTGGTCAAGAGTTTTTGCCTAGAGTTGAAACTGCAGCAGCTGAGGCCTGTGAACTGGAGGAAGGAGCCTGTAGCTCTTTCTTCATTTAACAACATACTTGACAGGAGAGAATGGATGGATTGTTTAAACTTCAGGCATAGTGTAGTTTCTCACAGAAAAGGTATAAAATGGCTGTGGATAACTGGTATCAATTCTGCTGAGGTAGAGGATGCTTCAACTCTCAAAGTTTGAGGGTGCTCCATGAGTTTTCTTTAGTACTAGGGATGAAATCCAGAGCCTTGAACATGCTACACAAATACCTGATCACTGGACTCTTTCACTTAAATACAACTTCAATATTTCCTTTAAATACAACTACAGGTTTTGTTTATATGGTTAGTAATTTGCCCCTGACAAGCAAATCCTTGGGAAGGAGAGCTGGCCTGCAGATGGCTTGAATCTGCAGGCCTTGGACAAAATGAATGATCTTTTTCCTGTGCACAGGGCACAGACTCTTTGCCTTAATTGGGCTAGGATGAGCTTTAGAAACTACTCAAAAGGCTACCTTGATTTTGCTCAGGGGAAAAGGAAGGCAGATATGGAAGGCTGGGAGAAAATCCATCTTTTGGATGAGTTGCATGTCACTGAGTGCTGGTGGAGAGGCTGGCACTGAGCCCACAGACCCAACTGGTTCAGGACGTCACGTTGTTCAGTCTTGCTTATCTAATCACATTTGTGTTCTTACTCAATGTTCACTGGGTCAGTGCATAGCTTCTCCCCAACTCTGCAAAAGTTCCCACTTAGTCTACTTGAGGTCATCCAGTGTCTGATCTCATGGGGCAGGAGGGGAGTAGCTGAACTGGTTCAAAACTGGTAGGATTTGCTGGTTGGATTTGGTAGGCAGGACTATTCTGTGACTTTCCACCAGACTTCCATTTTCTACAGAGGACTTGAACCAAGGCACACAGGTCTGCAGAGTTAAACCCCACCCCTTGCCATCACACTTCTCCCTTGGAGAAGCTGTTTGCTTTCCCTAGGTTGGTGAACACATTGCTCCCTTTGGCACCACAGCAGTTCCTCCATTTTTGTTTGGGACAAAGAAACAAAAACGGGCTCTTGTCCAAATGTTTAATCATGAAGATGAGAAGAGTCTTGGGAAGGGTTACCAGTAAGATATTAACAGAGAGACATTTGTAGTTGTGTGTGTGTGTGTGTGTGTGTGTGTGTGTGTGTGTGTGTGTGTGTGTGTGGTTTCTTATGGCCATAGGGAGATCTAAGCTCCTATGCATGTCTTGACTTTGTATTTAGCTTCCCTCAAACCTATTAAAAAACAACACCCATAGCTGAGTGTGGTAGTCCACTTCCAAGACTGGGAAATTGGGCCAGCCTAGGCTGTAATGAGATGTTCTCAAAAGCAAAGGTCTTGTCATATAGTACCCGTAACTACTCACATTCAGTAGTTAAGTGTTAATCTAGGAACCTACAGGGATTCCTACTAAAGCTAACGGGCATTTGGGCTTCAGATTCTGCCTAACATCTGCTGCTGGAAGTGCTCTGCCAAAGGCCTAGTTACGAACACTGAGGATAAAGCCCATGATTCACTTGGTGCTGTCAGTACATGAGCTATGACAGAGATTTAAGAGCTTCTGCTACCTCCTCACTCGTATGTCCTTAAAAACAAAAACCTATTCGTTCAGTTCATTTGTGGTTCAAGAAGCAGTACAGTGCTTGTCCCCTGGAGGAAGAAGAGTCTGAGTCCTTCACAGCCAGATCTTCACTAAAATGGTGGTGCAGTGATGACACCCTGTCTTTGTGAATGGGGAACTGGGACACTGCGGACTGTCTGCTTAAGGGTCCTCCCACAGAAGGAACAGAGGGCCACATCCAATTGCCTGGACATAGCAGGTCAGTGTTTTTTTTTTTTTTTTTTTTTTTTTTTTTTTTGCCTACAGGGGTCAACATTACTTCTGACTTTATTAAATCCTATTTTGATCATAACCATCTCACAGTGATATTTTAGGACTTTTTCTTGGTTCTGGGAATTGAACTCAGGGGATCATAAATGCCCTCACTGTTAAACTGCTAGCCTGCTATTTTTAAAATGTGGCCAGGTTTCAGGTCTCCCTCATGGATTCACGTGGCTTTTAGAGGAAAGGCGGGACAATGCAGATTTCTGATAAGATGGGTATAAGGGTCCAGACCAGCAACATCACCAAAGTCCAGATGAGGGATCAGTAAGTGCAATGTGCCTGAAGTGTAGCCCTTGATTACATCCTTTGGGTACACATTAACTTATTAAATCGATCCTGATTACAAACTTTGCCCCTACCTCACCTGGCAACCATGAGAAAGACAGATGTCAGTCTATAAAAGAAAACGGGAATTGCCCCGTCTTTCAGGCTCCAACATCTTCCTTTTGCCAAGATGTTACAGATCAAACTCTTTGCAGTGCTCATGGCTTGCCTGTTGCTGTTGAGCCAGGTAAGAGAGGAAATACATGTGTATGCTGGATAGTGTAGCAGCAATGGAATTCAAAGTCAGACTCAGTCCTGAGAAATGCTGTTAAACTTCCTGCAACCTGGGTGTGCAGCAGAGGGTGAGTGCTTCCCCACCTGAAGTGAGTATGCATTTGCTTTACAGGTCAATGGCTCTCCAGTACCAGAACTGAGTTCAGGAAAGAGAGCCAGGAGAATGACACCATTTTGGAGAGGGGTTTCCCTCAGGCCTATTGGTGCTTCCTGTTGGGATGATTCAGAGTGTATCACCAGACTATGCAGGTAGGTATTTGACAAACCTGGGTGCAGGGTGGGCCAGAGAGCTCTGGGAAGCTGGGAAAGATGAGATCAGAAAACAGAGATCCAAGGGGGGGGGGTAGGGAGGTGTGTGCACAGGAATGAAGCTCCAAGTTCCATGGAGGAGAGTTCCTTGATACTCAAGAACCACTCCGATTCCTAACACTGGGCAGATGAAACAACAGTGAAGGCAGCAGAGGTAATCTATGGCTCCTTAGATCTCCGTCCAATCATAGACACTTTTCTTCTCCCCTAGAAAAAGACGCTGTTCTCTAAGTGTGGCCCAGGAGTGATGCTCATACGAGGGGAAAAGTTACCTCCAACAGTGCTCTGTTCTATGGAATATTGGTTAACTGCATTTTGGCTGGAGATACTTAAGTGAAGCAATCTTGTGTTTTTAATATTTAAAGACAGATACTTGCTTTAAACTGGTCTCCCTTTCTTCTTAGAATGTTGGTTTGTACATAGACGTAACTAAGTTTGTCAGAGTTTATTTTTCTATAAATACTATTAAATGTCTCCAATCCAAATTCTGGCAGTCTGGAATTGACACTTGACTGACTCACCTCATGCAATATAGGAAACAGCACTCACTATCTAATGAGTGGTGCTTCACCTGGGAGGTGTGGAAAACACCCTTCTTCAAAAAATCTCGTACCGAGCATGATGGAGGCAATGCAATAGTCTCAGCAGATCAGATCATGGCTCTTTAGAACTCTTTAGGCTGGCATGTGCCACCTGAGGATGTGCAAAAGTTTGTCAATAACTTTATGAACAAAAAACAGAAACTAAAGAAGAGTCTGATTTAATAAAACAATTAAGCGGGGCATGGTGGAAAATGCCTTTAATCCCAGTACCAGGGAAGTGGAGGCAGAGGCACAAGCAGGCAGGTCTCTTGTTTGTTCAAGGCCAGCCAGGTAGGTCTATGCAATGAGTTCCAGGCTAGCCAGGGGCTACAATATGAGACCCTGTCTCAGAAAAACAAAATCCAACAAATAAATAGTAAAAATAAATAAATAATGAATAAAACAATAATAGCCTATGTCTTAAGAGCATAAATAAAGAATTGAAGATTTCCATTGGTGCAGGACAACTGAGATACATGGACTAGGACCCATGGCCAGAGTCTAAATTTTCTGTAACCAGAAAATGAGTCCTGTGCTGGTGGGATGAGACCTTTACAGAGTAGGACTGGACCCTAAGATGCAAAAGAGCAACTCCAGGAGCTGAAGAAGTGAGAGCACATGCATATAAACATTATACAGAAAAGCTATCTGATATTTATTAAACGTAGTTTCTCCAGCTATGGTTTGGCATTATACAAAGCATCATAATGACACAGTAGAGTTAAAAAGAGTTTTACAAATTGAAATGTGATACCCTTGTCTCCAAATATTTTAATTGCCATAAATTTGTTTAAAAATACACATTAAACGCATGTTTGACACTCTAAACTTTCTATAATCTCAATACCACAAAATACATATAATATACTATACAGATGTGGAAAATCTAGTTAGTATATAATACTTTGCTCACCATTAACAGCTTATTATATGAAATGCACATACTGACTTAGAAATCCTAGCTTTTGAGCCCCAAAGTACCTCTGAAATTTAATGTATTGCAACAAATAAAAATCACAGTATATAATTGAAATTTTGGTTGAAAGTGTCAGATGCCTAGATGTTTTGAATAAAAGAAACGTCAGACAAAGAGAGTGGATCATGTACAAGATGAAGGCCTCCTATCAGCAACAGTGCCTTTCTGCAGAGGCAACAGGCCTGTACTATCAATCGTGTTACTTCCCCTCCAAAACCCTCCCCAAATAGCAAACCATTAATTTCCAAATGATTTTAATTTCAAATAAAAAGATCTTCAATAAATATATAAGCATTTCCATCCTCCATATATAAAACTTCTCAAAATCATTCAAAACAGAGGCTAGGTAGAAATTTCCCTAACTGTGCTTACCAACTGGGCGTCTGCCTCAAGTGTGGCCTTTGCAGGCCCTGCTAAGTAAGCCAGCGCTGTTGGTGAGCCCTACCTCACCTCAGTACTGTTGAATGCTCATGTCAGTGATGTGCCAGGTGTGTGCATAATGGGGACACCTCTGAGACAACAGTAAGCTCAACAATACAGAAGTCATGGCATTGGTTTGAAAGACAGCACTTCCAAACTGATGTCTTCCAGAGAGGTACAGAATAGGCAGAAAACCCAGTGGCTAAAAGCTGAGAAGAAACCTAACACAGAAGCAGCAAGGTCAAAGCCAAGTACTAGTAGGATTTCTGGGTGGGAGCTTATCCACGCTCACTTGAGCGCTTTCTCCGGGTTTATGGATGATGATTCCTGCTTAGCTGAGCAATGGCAGCAAGGAGAGGCGCATGCGGACAATCCTGAAAATGAACTGCTTAAAAATTAGCCATTTAAGCTGAAACTCTGACTTAGTTGACACCTTGTTCTAAATCCCATCTACAAGACAAGTGTAGCTTCTGTTTTCATCCCCTGCTTGAAGACAGCAAGTTCTTTTTAACTAACCATGGGTTCATGTGAACACGAGTTCCGCAGACCAGTATCCTGTTACCTTGCTTTTCTCACAGGTCTCTCTATGTAGTGCATGCTGGACTCAACAAACAATCCGAGTGCTAGAATTAAAGCATGCACCACCACACCTGGTTCACCAAATAACTTTTACATTTATTGATCTCTTGGAGAGTGGGTCTCAGTAGCTCAGGCTTACTGCCCCGCAAAGGCTGACCTTTATTTACCTCAGGGTATGCAGCAGCACTCCTGGCCTTCTCTAACCTTAAGGACTTCTGTTACTTGCTGGCTTGGTTTCAGGGTCTGAAAGTCGAAGCTGAATGCCTCCACTGGTAAGTATGTGAAAGTTACATTCACAGATGTGACAACTGAGCCTCATCAGTGCATCTTCCCAGACATTCACTCATTATTATTTCTGCTGATTTTACTCACAGCAACACTAGGTGTGCAATACTACTGGGAAAGAAGTCTGCCTCTCCAACTGAGATGTGAAGATGGATGGGATTTGTGTTCCACATCCTAGGGGAATATGAGTTATAGGAGTCTACAGACTTGAACAAGGTGCTCTGGCTCCCCAAGTCACTTAGGTTTAGTCTAACCATCACCACATCTGGCCTACAACAGTCATCCTCAGTAGATGTCCTTGGGAGCCAGACACCTATAGACTCCTATAAATCAAAGTATACAATGAAGCCATTCTGTTCAATTAGCTATTGGAAAATTAAAATCTTTCCCACCCTGTAAGAGCCCTATTACACTACAGAAGAAGGGCTCAAATATATTTCAAAAGTTAATTTACTACAAATCATAGTAATTAAGCTTTAACAATCTAAAGGAATAACACAGTACACCCTTGAATGTAAATATTCAAGGTGCCAAGAACAAAGTGTCTTAGATCAATTTAATAAATAATGTGGAAATAGTTGCACTAAGCTAAAATACTAAACACACACATTTTGACAAACTAATCCCATGTTTTCATACATACATACGTACATATATATAAAGTGTGTATGTGTACATAATTTTAAGATCCAAAGTTGCATACCCTCAGACCTAGAAGAGTGCACAGCATCCCCCTTCTCAAGTGAGCTAGGCATCATCTAACTGAACTATCACTGGCTGTACTACAAACTCCTCTGAGCACTGGCCTCAGGCAGTGCTAGTACTTCTGACAAAAATCTTTGTAGGCCCTGGCTACATAATGCAAGCTCATTCATTAAACATCAATGTACCAAAGTTTCAGCAGTTAAATACAAATGATGCTGCCTAATCTAGCTGATTTACTCTTTAATGAAAAGAAACAAAGAACAATTTAAAAACAAAACAAAACACAACAACAACAACAAAACCAACAGCTACTTTAAAGCCACAAGTGTGTCATTCAAAGTGCAGCCCAGATGCCTATAAATCCCTGGTGTAAGAGCTTCCCAGAAAAACGGGCAAGTATGGGTGCGTGCACACATTACTCTGAATTGCTTTTATATTGGAGAATTAAATCAGTAGTGGTCAATCTTCTCCCTTCAGCAGCTGTATCTGTGAATATATTTGAAGACTCACTGATAATAAAGTGACTTCATAGCTTCTTGCCCAGAAAAAGGTGTCACTGAGCAAGGAAAGAAAGGGCTGGGTGCTCTCCAGCCAGAAGGGGGCATGGGCTTAGGCTGTGTAATCTTGAATGCCCAGAGGGGAGTGCTCCCCACAGCCCAGCCTCTCCCAGGCAGGACTACTGAGACAGCTCCATCACTGCAATTGTGTGGGATGCCTGTCTAGAGTCTAATGGTGCACGCTGCTGCCTCCTAGCATAGGAGTGTGATCTTAATTAAGAGCAGTGAACTGAGCATTAAAGATAGTTGCTATTTCTATTACTAACTATACATTGACTAGAAGTTTCAGACTAAGTTTGTAGCCACTTGTCAAATCAGTTTTAAATGGCTAAAACCCACTGAGGGTGCCTACTGAGAAGGGAGGAATGGTCACTTGTAAAGGAGTCAAGGTATGTGCTGGACATAGCTGAGACAAAATGTTTGAGAAAAGTCACACAGAAGAGAGTGTATTCTCACACACTATGACATCAAAAATTCAATCACTTAGGATCAGATTTTGATCCATTGCCCATTTCTACTTGGTGGGGAAAATCCTCCACAATGAAAGGCTTAACAATTTCATTCTCCAAGAATTGACAGTTTTAAAGAGAAAATATCTTAAAGCAGCACCATAAAACATGTAGAAACTCTGCTTTAACATACCAGTGTCACTCCAGAGTGTGCTGGCCGCCTTGCAGGACACAGGGCCCAGAGCTGGAAAGCAGAAGCCAGCACTGCATCTGCTGGAGTCTAAAAGCCCAGAGGGTACTTGTTCCACTTCTAAGACCTCCCTCAAGTTAAGGAGTCAGAGTGAGAAAGAAGAGGCAAGGACAGGACACACAACTGTTAGACCATGTAAGTTACTAGCACAAGAGAGGAGACAGTGGCCTCTGAGGAAAAATTAGTCCTTAAATACACTACAATTAAATTAGAAAGGTATCAGAGGCAATTTCTCCAAGGGAAAAAATGTTAAATTCAGCATAAGCTATAGATAACAACCCTCAATGGTATGTAAAAATAATGAGGTACAAAGCAGTTAAGCTCTGTAAATATGAGACTGCAAAGTTCACTATCTTCAGAACTAGGTGGTGAGAGAGACTAGGAGAGGGATGTGAAGATTTTCTATCCCTCGTCCCCTTTCCCATTTCAAATCTTAATAATCCCCTATTATTAATGGGGACTTTTTCTCCCCAATTAGATGGAATTTTGGAATAGAAGGAAAAGCCATCTTCTGAAGCAGCATTATACCCAATTGATTATACTAAGTCAGGTACATTAGCTTTCCTGAAGGAATCTATCTTAATGTGACTCTAAAGCAAGATTTAAAATCAAAGAGAATTTAAAATTATTATTGTAGAGGACCAACCATGCATGGCTAATCTGGTCCCAGCATAAAACTTTATCTGTAAACAATCCATAGAGTTATCATTTAAGTTAAGATTTAAGGCACACCAGACATGATGGGGTCACTAAAAAGAAGTATAGAGGAAGAGAGACATTCCTCATCCTTCACTGCTATACGCACCTTGTTGGGAACAGTAGTTTGATAAGGAATTGTTACAGAGCTGGCTTCCTAAGCACTATCCCTATATTATTCTCCCCTTTCCAAGAGAGCTCAGACTGAGCCAAGTTAGGTCTTCTCTATATGATTTTTTTTTTTCTTTCTGTTTTTAATGTGACAAGGTCTCATGTAGCTCAGGCTAGTCTCAAACTCACTGTCTAGCTTTATGCAGCCTAAGGATGACCCTGAACTCCTGATCCTCCTGTCACCACTACCCAGTGCTGGGATTATAGGCATGCACAACCATGCCTATATGAGATTTCTGATCCTGTCAAAAGCATACATCATTGAGGAGGATCTTTGGAAAGAGAAATTCATCATCTCCACATTAGACATTGGGACACCTCTTTCCAAGCTCCAATTACTACATGGTCATATCTGAGCATCATAATCTCTCCACCATAGGGGAGATCTGCAGACTTCAACCTTCAAACATTACCAATGAAACAGGCTGCAACCTTCAGAAACTGGATCACCATTTTCTGTTGTTTTTAGAAGTAACTTACTCTGCTTCAATTAAGTGTCAAATGAGTAAAACAAAACAAAACAAAAAAAGAATAAAAGGTTTTAATAAACCCAGTTTAAGATTGTCCTTTATGAAGCCATTCAGTATGATGTGCTTGTCCCAGCAAGTCTATCTGCTTTTTTGTAATGCATTAGATGCAATGTAGTCACCTTGTGATTGCTAGTGTTTCTAACACACATTCACAGTTTTGAAATAATGCACACCAAACCAGACCCACTTCATTTTTGCACCCTTGTAGAATGCCATCTTCTCATGTTTAAGTGACTTTCCCACTTTACATGTGGAAGAGCATCCTTAATACCAAGCATAAATCCAACAATAATAAAACTGTAGTAAGACTTGAAATAACATCAGGTAATAGCTGTAGAAAAACATGTCCTGTCTTGGACAAGCCAACTCTTTTCTTAAAAGACATTAAGTAACACAGCTCCCCAAATATATAAATAAAATGCCTACATTAAATTTATGCTAAATATTCAACAGAATAAATTCATAGGCAGGAATAACTAAGCTTTAAACAAGCTCCAATTTGGGAACTTGAAAAAAATGAAAATAAATAGAACTTTACTTGATTATTTATGAATTGTAACTGGAATTCCAATTACTGAAGCCATCTTACTGATGTACTGCAGGCTTAGAAGCATTTAAATACTTGTCACATTGGGAATATTGAAAGGGTCAGTTGATATGATGGCTTTGGGTTATAATAAACAACAACATAAACCAAAAAGGAGAAAACCATTCCTCATTCTTAGTGTCGACTAGGTGGTGTGTTATGGCAGTTTTCCTTTGTGATGTGACACAGTGTTGTGGAAGAAAATCAGAGGCAACGAGAATATGTTCAGTTCAAGGTATCAACTTGGCATCCTGCCGAAGCCAATGTAGTCCCTGCCGGGTGTAACGAGCCAGATCTGTCATGATGCTTGCATTAAAGATGAGAGGGCCCATCACTTTGTCCAGTTCAGCAAAGAATTCTAGAAAATTAAAAACATTCAGTAAGCATCACACATTCTTTTGAATCCCTGATTTTCTGTAAAATAGCATGTCTCCCACACTAACGGCCTTTATGATGTCAAGTTTTTGAAGTCATGCATCAGTTTAAAAAGAATGCACAGATATGAATTCCAAGATGAAGTACCACTGATGAAAACGGTCAACTGCTACTACATTAAAATGGAGTCCCAGTGACACGTGTGCAGTGCTCCCTCTGGAATACTCAAAGCACTTTGTATGTATTATGTCTATGCAAGCAGTAGCAGAAAGAGTAGTCTTTGCATGTTTCCCACACTAGCCTCTATATAGCTCCATGACAGCCTATACCCAACCTTTCTGTTATAATCAGATGCTGTGCACCACTAATAAATTAATAAATCCCTTCTGTTTAGTCAGAAGTTTAAAAATTAAATGTATTCTTCATAAGTGAACAAAAAAGGCTCATGCCAGGATGGCACAAATAAGAAAAAAGGACAATATTCTAGGATTTGATTCCACTGCAGTTTTGGAAGCCAACAGGGATGTACTCGGATACTTTTGAGAGAAGACAGCTTTTAGACATGCTGAGAAAAAAGGGTTGTCAAACGATTACACACTAATCAAACAAGGCAATAAGTAATCAGACACCTGAAGTGAAATGTCTCTACAGAAATTCCAACTAATGCAAAACGAATGCCAGAGCAGAATATTGCTGGTCATTTTTTTAGCCCTTTTTCCTCCTGAGACAGGGTTTCTTGTAGCCCAGGTTAGCCTGAACTTCTTACATAACCTCAAACACTTGATCCTCACTGCTTCTGTTCCCAACTGCTGGAATTACAGGCTGTGACGACCATGCCTGGCACATAATGAATTTTCTATTTCCTAATAATGGACCTAGGAAATTTGGTCATCATGGATATCAAAAGTGTAAGTTAAAGTTTAATAGGAATTGTTGTATCATGTTCATCAGAGTGACACTATATAAATAATCTATTGACTTTAAAAATTAAAACAACTTAAAAAAAAAAGACAAGGTCTTGCTATGTAGTTCAGACTGGCTTCCAACTTGCAATCTTTCTGCCTTAGTCTTACAAGTTCTGGGGCTACAGGCCTACTTACTATGTCCAGATTTGACAAAACTTCATTTATTTATTTAGTTAGTTAGTTAGCTTTATTTCTGTTTTCTTTACTTTTTTTTTTTTTTTTTTTTGAGAGACAGAGTTTCTCTGTTAAACAGCCCTGACTGTCCTGGAACTCATTTTATAGACCAGGCCAGCCTCGAACTCAGAGAGATCTGCTTGCCTCTGCCTCCCTAGTGCTCGGATTAAAGGTGTGTATCACCATTGCAGGGCTCAGGTCTAGTGATCATAATATCAATAAAGGATAAATACCTTAGATAACTAGGTGTGTCCTAAATAATATGTACCACATAGAACATATTATCTAAATACTAAACTAACCTAATCAATAGAAAAGAAATAGACAGAAGAACAAATGCAACGACAGCATGAGGAAGTAACCAGGCAAATGCAAAATGAGACATAGTCTATGATTCAGTTTCTTCTCAATATCAATGGCAAGGCCAATTGAGGGGGGAACAGGTAGCACTTAGACCTTGTTTGGATCCTGTATGAAACAAATCCAACTGCTATATTTCTTAATGGTGCTCTCTTTTACATTTATCTATCTGTGCATCTATCACTGTGTTTAGTCAGAGTTTGAAAACTCTGTGGAGCCAGTTCTCTCCTTCCACCAAGTGGGTCCTAGGGCTTGAACTCAAGTTTGGTGGCAAGCACCTTTACCTACTGAACCATCTAGCAGACCCAACTATTGTATTGTTTAAAATATATTTGAGATTATCAGGGAAATTTGATGGTAGACAAGGTGCTGCCTACTAAACTACATTCAATATGCCAGAACAAATGTATATTGTCTTATACCACAACTACTTCTTGCGGGGAGAGAAGAAGGAGGGAGCTGGGATTGGAATGTAAATAAATAAATAAACAAATTAGTTTTAGTTAGCTATGTCACCAGTACTACAAAAGCTGTTTGTCTGTGTTCCTTCCCATACATCAGTCCATCTATTCCCCGTCCTTCATAGTAGGGACCAAACTGAGGGCCTTATGCATGCTGGACAAAAAAATCTAACAGGAGCCCTGCATAGCCCAAGGGTATTTTTAAACACATCTACTCATATTTAGTATGGGGCTAATCAAAGGAGGCTATTAGCAAACTGATTATGATTCCCTCTAAACCACAAAATAAAGCAAATGTTCTCCAAATAGTTAACTAAATCACAAAAGTTTCTTTTAACAATTCCATCCTCAAAGTTTATCCAAAGCCCAACAAACCTTTTTGTTCTTTGGAAAGCTGTTCAGCTTGGTCCCAGATTTCAGTGGCATAGAGGAAGTTAGATGTGACTTGGACGTAGCTTGCTGCCATCTGGTGGATCTTCTGTGGAATGGTCACTGAAGAACCACTTGCTGAAGCACTACTGCCCCCAGAAGAGTAACTTCCAGAATTGCCTGGTGACAGCTTTGGAGAAACAGGGGAAGGCATCCCAACAGCTTTGCTACATACAAAGAGAAGACACAGGATGCTTATTCACACACATAGTGAGCATCATGAAATCAGCATACTACAGGCTGGAAGGCCATCCTGGTTTTCACAGTGAAATCCTGTCTCAGACAGACAATTTAAAAAGGCTAAGGATAGCCAGGCATTGGTGGCACATGCCTTTAATCCCAGCACTCGGGAGGCAGAGGTAGGCAGACCTCTGTAGTCTACAGGACAGGCTTCAAACCAATACATAGAAACCTTGTCTTGAAAAAGAAAAACAAACAAAAAACCCAAAAGGCTGAAATATAGCTCAGTGGGAGAGCATTTGGTTAGCATGCAAAAGGGTTTTACCTCAGCCCTGGGGATGGGTATACAAGGGAAAATAAGATGGAATGTCAACACAAGAACTCAACAAATAAGACTCAGAAAATGTAAAGGGTTGCATGGTGTTTGTTCCTTTTTTTGGGTGGGAGGGGTTAATGTGAATGTGAGAATGGAAGATACAACACAACCATGCCACTATACTCTGGCAATGCCAACATCTTTGTGAAGTTAAAATTACTGTAACAAATCCAAACAACTATGAAAATCAAACTCAAGATATCTGGAAGCTAGTGAGATGGCTCAGGGGCAAGAGTGCTTGCCACCAAGCCTGACAACCAAAGTACCATCCCAGGAACTTACATGACAGAAGAGAGACAAAACAAAAAACCAACTCAGACATCTGTAGGTGACATGTCTCATTTCAAACTTTTCAAAAATCATATTCATTATATTTTAATTACTAAAATAGGTAAGAATCATTAAAAAAAAAAAACACTTCTCTAGAACTGTAACTCAATGGGACAGCATACAGAAAGGCCTATGTTCAACTTTAAACATCAAAAAAAATTTTTTTAAGTACCTTACTACAGATTTTAATATTTTAAATGTAGCAATCACTTTGTTATCCATTCTACTCTGATCCACAAATACATTTATCAAAAATATTTCAGTGAAAAAACTGTACCTACCTCCCTAAGCCAGGTGAAGGTGCTTGAGAATTACTGTAAGAATTCTGCAGGGGGGAAAAAATTTATTTAACAGAAATATTATACATATTTATAATTTTAAAGCATTTGATATCTTCAAAAGTATTGGCTAGGGTTGATCTTAAAAACTTTATATTCATCCTTGGCTTACACAACCAGTTTGGGGTCAGCATAGACTGTATGAGACTCTATCTCAGAAACAATAACTCTGTCTGGGTTGGATGTGTGGTTCAGTGGTTGGGCACTTGCTTAGCATGTACAAGTCCTGGGTTCAATCCCTAGTGATATAAGGAACAAAACAAAAAGATAACAATCTGAAGATGGGTAGAGGTGAAAATGCAAAGAACATTTCCAAGTACAGATATGGCTATTGTATATAGCTATGAAAATTATGTAATCTGATGGGAGATGTCATTCTGTAAATATGTTTCTCTTATTGGTTAATGAATAAAGCACTGTTGGCTAATAGGAAAGCAAGATAGGTGGGACTAGGAGACAAGGAAGAGAGAGGAAGTAATAGGGAGGGGATTCAAGATGGAGGACGGAGAGAAGAACGCCAGCCCCTCTCTCCGCTAAGACAAGACGACGTGGAAATACTTAGATTAATAGAAATGGGTTAATATTTAAGACAGAGCTAGCCGATAAGAAACTAGTAACTGGCCAACAGCTTTATATCTAATACAGTGTCTCTGTGTGTTATTTGGGGCTGGCTTGGAAATGGGACCTGACCGGCAGGAAAAAAGACATACTCTTAACAGTAATCCAATATACATTTGAAGGCTTTTCCAAGAAAGCACAAACACATCTGAGAATTTTTAGGCAGTAGTTAGTTTCTTATCTCTTGTTATGTTTTGCCTACATATGAGAGCATCTCTGTTACACACACTTACCTTCAGGTGCTCAGTCAGTGTCTTGGAGTACTTTAGAGCATTCTCCTTCTTCAATTTGAACAGCCTCAGGTACAGCAATGACTGGCATCTCAGGCTAGGCAATGGGAAAAGGCAGTGTATTCAGACATGGCTGACTGGCTTCATGTGAGCAACAATGGCCTGGGGTCAGCATTACCTCTTAGACAAAACCACAAGGTCAGCTTAATATGGAACATACCCAAGAAAAGAAAGTAGCTAAGAAACTTAGCACTAGCATCCCATTAGGTACTGACATTTAAAATTAAAAGTATACCAACTTACCATAATACAAATACTTTTTTACAAAAGTTAAAAACTAAAAGTAGAAAACTGAAGCATTAACATTACAAGTGTGATGGAATATACCAACCTTCATCCATAATTGTTCCTGCCCACATACCCAGCAAAGCCTACTTTCAAATTCATTGGTCTTCAGCTCTTTAAAGGTTTCCCATTTTCCTTCCTACCACTGCCCTCACCTACATTGTAACCTCCAGAACAAGTCTCCCAATCCTCTCCTCTCACAGATCAGAGAATCTTTTTTTTTTCCCCCACCCCCTAGATGTTCTGAAACTTACTATATGTAGATCAGGCTGGCCTCTGCCCCCTAAGTGCTGGGAACAAAGGTATATTCATATATTCACATGGTTGATGAGTTTCTGTCTCTCCACATTGGAGTATAGACTTCATAATAAGCAGTATAATGTCAGACTCAGCAGAGATAGATGGATCTATGTGAGTTTGAGGCCAGCCTGGTCTACAAAGTGAATTCCAAGACAGCCAGGGCTGTTACAAGAGAAATCCTGTCTTGAAACACCCCCTCTCTCCAAAAAACCCACAGTGCACAGTCAAGTATGAAACCTAAATAGAGAACAGATGAATTTTTTTCTGAGAAAAGCAAACAGGAGCATAAATAGAAAGAAGAGCCTAGAAAAGTAGTCACTTAAATCAATTGAGGATTCTAATATCAACCCCACTCCAGCACTTTCATCAAGATGACAATGGATTAGAGACTGATAGGACCTAAAATCTTTTACTAGGGACTCTGAGCCATTTCCTGTTAAGAAAAGGTTTTGTGGGCTGGAGAGATGGCTCAGCAATTAAGGGCACTGCTTGTTCTTCTAAAAGTCTTGAGTTCAATTCAGAGTAACCACATGGTAGCTCACAACCATATGTAATGAGATCTGATGCCTTCTTTTGACCTGCAGACACATATGCAGGCAGAACACTGCACACACAATAAATAAATCTTAAAAAAAAAAAAAAAAAAAAAAAAAAGAGGAAAGAAAAGGTTTTGTGGAAGACTGATTCAAGGATAGTATTCAGAAAAGCAAACCCAGCACAATTCTTCAAGGACTGTCTGTCACCCAGCAAGGAATACACAACACTTACCAAAGTACTGTGAGTCTCTTGTCTGCAGCTGTAGCATCTGGTGCCAAATAATTCTTCAGTTTCATAGTGTATCTATGAATTGAAATAAAGACAAAAGACAAAATAGAAAATTTCACCTTGATCTTACTACTTCCTATGTTCTCAAAATATCAGAATCAAACATAAAGCACCCACTAAAATTCTTCCCTAAGGAAAATGGAACACTAATCATCTTCCCAGTTCACCATATTTGGCTAACTAGATGGCTAAATAACATGATAAATGATAAAAGTTATGCCATTGAAATGTCAAGTTCCCACTTACTTGATGAGCTCCACTGTGTCTGAGTACATAGGGAATGGGGACTTGGATTCCTGAGCGTTCTTCTCTAATGCATTCCCACACTCAATGAAAGACACTACAGCATCAAGGTAGTAAACTGCTTTCTCAAACCTATCAGACTAAAGGAGAAAAATCCAAAGTAAAGATCCACTGCTAAACACCAGGAAGGACACGTTAGCTTGACAAAGCACATCAAGATATTTACATACCAAAGCATCTGCATTGTGTTTGAGTTTTTTTGCTTCTTGTAAATAATGGTCTGCTGAATAATTTCTGCAAAATAAATTTTTTTTATAAGTAAAAAGGTTAACATTTCCTAAGATGATTACTAGGTTATTTTAGATTCTAGTATCTTGTAGCTTTCACATTCTCAAGAGAGTGAGTATTTATCTTTTCTTCCCTTTTTATGTGATGTTGGGATTTGAACCCAGAGCCTTGTGTATGACAGACTATGCCACTGAGATACATTCTCAGCCCAGAGAGTAAGTAATTATCAAACATTTTAATTTTCTGAGAAATATATACAGATTAAGAGCATAAATTATGGGCTACTGTGGCAAATCTACTCAAGCACACAGAGATCAAACTCCCTACTATTAAATACTAGCTTACTCAAGTTGTTTTTTAAAGTCACAAGTAAATAGGATGCAAGCAGGAGAGGTACCTTCTAACAGAAGGCAAGAGAAAGTAGCATCCCTTATCTGAGAAGACCTCTGGTATCCAGAGTGCACTGGCAGCAGGAACAGCTCCAGGAAGCACACCCTTCCTGCCTCAGGAGAGCCAGTAGTTGTTAAAGGGAGTAATTGGACTAAAGATGCTTTTCAAGTTAAACTCTAAATACTCTGTAGATTAGATACAAGTATTAACCCTATAGAAACTGACATATTTAAATGAGTTATGTGCTGACTGGACTTCTTAAATGCACACATGAAAGTGTATTTCTCTTTACAGCTTGCACAGTGTTACAGTGCTTTAATTCCAGCACTCAAGAGGCCGAAGCAAGATACTCTCTAAGGGTTTGAGGCCAGCCTGGTCTACATAGTGAGCTGCAGGCCAGCCAAGGCTACACAGTGAGATTCTATTAAAAAACAAACCAAACAAAACCCACAAAATCTATCTCACCTGTCATCAAAGGCAAGCTTTGTTCTCCGAGGCTTCGAAGAATCAGGAGTTGGTGTAGATGGAGGACAATTAGAGGAGCTACTTGGAGCCTTTTCCTGACCAAAAGAACATATATAACTAAGTTGAAAATTTTCAGGAGACTAGAAATGAAGCCAATCTCTCTTCCTCAGCCACTGCTAAAACAGAAATGAAATTCTACAATCTTCAAATTTGTAATTAAATTCCATAGTACACTGGGCATTGGTGGCGCATGCCTTTAGTCCCAGCACTCGGGAGGCAGAGGCAGGCAGATCTCTGTGAGTTCAAGACTAGCCTGCTCTATAAGAGCTAATTCCAGGACAGCCTCCAAAGCCACAGAGAAACCCTGTCGAAAAACAAAAAACAAAAAACAAAAAACAAAAACAAACAAAAAAAAAAAAAAAAAAAAAAAAAGAAAAACAAAACACAGACTGGGGTTCATTTTATATAACCCAAATATTTATTCTTATATTTGCAAAGAGGCTACTATATACAAGGCATTTAGGCACTTACACAAACTAAGTATCTAAATGGCAGATTGTGTTGGGGAGATAGTTGAGTGGGTAAGCACAAGTGCTGTGAAGGAAAAGAACCTGAGTTCAAATCTCCAGCACCTGCATAAAAGCTGGGCATGGCTGTACTTTCTTGTAACAACACTAGGGTTGTGGGGCAAAACTAGGCAGGTTCAGGAAGAGGGTGAGCTTCAAGTTCAATGAGAAACTCTGTCTCAGATAAAGGGCTGAAGAGATGGCTCACCAGTTAAGAGCATTGGCTGCTATTGCAGAGTATTTGGGTTTGGTCCCAAGAACCCACAATGGTGGCTCACAATCATCCAAAACTCCAGTTCCAGGAATCCAATGCTTTCTTCTGACCTCTGTGGGCACCAGGCACACTAGTGGTGCATATCACACACATATTCATACAAAACACTCATACACATAAATTAACAACAACAAAAAAAGAATTTAAAGAGAAACATTTTAGCCAGATGGTGGTGTACACCTTTAATCCCAGCACTGAGGAAGCAGGGGCAGGCAGATTTCTTTGAGTCTGAGGCCAATCAGGTCTACAAAGCAAGCTCCAGAACAACCAGGGCTATTACCCAAAGAAACTCTGTCTCAAAACAAACAAACAAACAAACAAAGAGAGAGAAAGTTCAGTAGGGAAGGGTACCTAAGGCCCTCCCCTGGCCTCTGCATACATGCATGGGCAAATACCTACCTGCATACCACCCAATCAAAAAAAAAAAAAAAAAAGGAACTAAAGGGCATTACCACTCAGGAAAACACACCTTTAATCCCAACACTTAGTCAGGAGGAGATAACAGTCTGGTCTACACAGCAAGTTCAAGTCACTCAGGGCTACATAGTGAGATCTTGTCTCAAACAAACAAACAAACCAAAAACAGAGGCTTATTTCTATGGCCTAAGTTAGCTACTTAGAATGGTTGTTAATTCTTCTACTATCCTATGAAATAAGTGTTAGAGTTAGGTAGGCTTTGTTGTTTTGGGGAAGTCTAATTTAAGGATTTAAGGGACTGGAAAGAAGGTTCAGTGAATAAGAGTGCTTCTTGTTCTTCCAGAAGACTTGAGTTTGGTTCTCAGCAGCGCACAACTGCCTATAACAGCAGCTCCAGGGGTATCTGATATCTATGGCTTCCAGGTGTATATACTCACGTCTATATAAAATACACAGATACATACTTGTAATTTAAAATGAAAAAAAATTAAAACAAAATAACCAGTCTGAGTACAAGGGTAGGGACTGCACCTTGATACACAAGGCAATGTTATCCCCTAGAGTATTAGAAGAGATCACAGCTGTGTCGTTTCAGTGGGGCACTGGTTTTAAGCTCCTTCCTTGCTCAAAATTGGTACTGGCTTCTAGAAGTAGTCAGTTCTGTTTCTATCACCACCTGTCTATGGAGATACCATGGAACTCTGGGTAACAAATACAATTATAAGCTCACGACATAGCTGAAGTAAACTTCCAATCTGATTTGCAAAGCTCTAAAGCTTTGCCCTTTCCATACCAGTGACTGTCTGTCTCTTCTTAACCAACATCAATATACTACTTGTATGCATTTATATAGCAATAAAGGCTTACTGACAGTATCAGCTAAAACAGTATTCACTGGGTACTTAAGAGGTTACCATGTAAAGAAAGCATAAGAACTTGCAGGAAAGGGCTAGAGAGATGGCTCAGAGGTTAAGAGCGCTGACTGCTCTTTCAGAGATCCTGAGTTCAATTCCCAGCAACCACATGGTGGCTCACAACCATCTATAATGAGATCTGGTGCCCTCTTCTGGCCTTCAGAGATACATGCAAGCAGAATGTTGTATACATAATAAATAAATCTTAGAAGAAAAAAAATCTGCTGAAGAAGCAAGCAAAGGGGCAGAGTAAATAAGCCAGTTACACATATATGTTCTAGCCCTGACTCTAGGCTTTCTTTAAACTTCACTTCCTCTGGAAAAATTCAATGACTCAAATTGATTCTAAGATTTGCTACAGGGTTCTGTGATTAGTTAATCATGATTCATTATTGATTTCTTTGTGGAAAGTTTATTGGGGGAAGGTAAGGGAGTAAGAAAAAGGAAGAGAGAGAAAGAGGAAAAGAGAGAAAAGAGAGGGGACAGAGACAGACAGAGATCTGTTTGCCTCCTCAGAGAAATGGCAGAAAGAGAGCTCATTATTGATTCCTTTTAATTGTCTGGATCTGTACCCAAATTACACACACTGATTTCTTTTTTTCTTTTCCTTTTTCGTTTTTCTTTTTGAGACAGGGTTTCTCTGTGTAACAGCCCTAGTTGTTACAAAGTTCATGGTCAGATTAATCCATACATGACTTCCCCAGTCCACATCGAGATAATTCTCATTAAAAAGGAACAAATTGTTCCAAGGCCAGAAGAGGAGGTTGCACAGAAGAAAAAGATAACACTGAAGACAACTCTAAGTGGCATTCCTGCTATCTGAATTTAGTCTAGATCTGACTTTAACAGTCCAACTACTTAAATTTATTCTGCCTCTGATTGATGTATGATTTTGTGCAAGGGTTGTCTCTGAGATGAGTGTGTAATGTCACTCTAGTCTGGCTCTCTTTCCAAACCTTATTCATCCCAAGTGCCTCCAATTCAGTCCCATTTTTGATAAAACGAAGACATATTTTCCCATTGATTAGTATAATGCATGAACGTTTCTAAAGTAGAAAAAACCTGGGGCTGGAGAGATAGCTCAGCAGTTAAGAGAGTATATGTTGCTCTTGCAAAGACCCACATGGTGGCTCACAACCACCCAAAAACTTCCAGTCAACCACATGGTACACATTCATACATATTGGAAATTTTTTTTTTTTTAAGATTTTATTTTTAGGAGCAGTGTGAAGAAGCAGTGAGAACGACTCCTGGCTGGACCAAACCTGCGCACCACTGCAGCCCCACATTCAGCGCCACCGTCCCCCACCGCTGCCATGCCCAAAAGAAAGGCTGAAGGAGATGGACGAGCCACAGAGAAGATCCGCAAGGTTGTCTGCTAAACCTGCTCCTCCAAAGCCAGAGCCCAAGCCTAAAAAAGCCCCTGCAAAGAAGGGAGAGAAAGTACCCAAGGGGAAGAAGGAGAAAGCGGCTGCTGGCAAGGATGCAATTAATCCTGCAGAAAATGGAGATTCCAGAACAGATCAGGCACAGAAAGCTGAAGGTGCTGGAGATGCCAAGTAAGATGTATGCATTTTGGTAACTGTGTACTTCTGGTGACTGTACAGTTTGAAATACTATTTTTTTATCAAGTTTTATAAAAATGTAGACTCTTGTTTTACTTTTTTTTTTTTTTTTTTTTTTTTTTTTTAAAAACTATGTTGTTAAGACTCAGAACACTTCATTGTTTTGGTGGGGGGAGGAACATGTGTCACTAGCAAAATGTCTCCTAAGATGGATTGATGATGAAAGCATCTCTCCTTGACAATTTAAAGGTCTCCTCTTGGCTCAGGAGAGACATCCTGGTGTTGACATATGTAGCCACCATGGCACAAAATGGCTTGTGTGGGAAAACTAAGTTCATTTTTTTATATCCTTTTCCCCCTGTACCATCAACATAGACTTAACTCCCTTAAAACTAGAGACCTGTTGGAACCTGACCCCCTAAAATTGGTTTTGCTGGTCTATTGGGCTTTGCAGTGATAATTATCCTCAAAGGAGCATCGGTTCTTTTTATAGACAAGATTGTGGATCTTCAGAATGATAATTCTGCTGTTTTCATTTCATTTTCTCAAAGTCAGGGTTGGCTTGTGAAAAGTTGTTAAGCAACATCCTTAATGTGAAATGTCAACCCTCACTCTAAGCTCTTCCCCTTTTCAAAGCATTGAATGAAGACTTCACTGGGTTTTACAGTGGTTTTCTGATTTTGGTAGTCTATACAAGAAGGGAGTTTGGAAGTTCATGTAAACTGTTAATGATTGTCTGCCCATGTCCTGCTTGAAATACCATGACTGTTTATGGAAAGTATCTTTAATACTTTGGCTTGGGAAAAAAAGATTTTATTTTTATTTTATGTACAACAATATCTCACCTGCATGTGTTTCTGTTTGAGGGTGTCAGATTTCCTGGAACTGAAGTTATATTAACAGTTATGAGCTGCCATGTGGGGGCTAGGAATTGAATCCAGGTCCTCTGGAAAAGCAGCCAGTGCTCTTAACCACTGAACCATTTCTCCAGCCCCGCCTCCCCAAAATTAAGTAGAAAAAAAATTGGTAATACATCAACTTATTACTTGTGCTGAAAAACTTGTTTTCAAAAGAACTAGAGAATATTTCAGTTCTACCTATTACAGTTTATGCCAAAGAATGAAAATAGAAGCCTTGTGATGTGAAAGCATGCCACATTCTTTATGTTTAAGTCTGTGTGCTCCCTGAGCATGCCATATTATAACCTGCCCACAATCACATTTATGTTTTATACACAGTTCTACAAGTCCCTGTGTTGTAGAATATTATTTCAAGATGTGTTGCATTCTTTTATGTTGCATTTGTTTAACTCTGTAAAGCTGTGCTACTTTGCCTGTCTAAAATACCTGCTTGGTCTAATAAAGAGCTGAATGGGCCAATAGTGAGGCAGGACACAGCTACACAGCCAGACATGCAATAAGAAGGGGGGAAAAAAAGATATACAGAAATAGATAAAGGTAAAAGTCCAGAGGCAAAAAGTAGATGGGATAATTTAAGTTAAGAAAAGCTGGCTAGAAATAAGCCAAGCTAAAGCCTAGCATTTATAAGTAAGAATAAGCCTCCATGTGATTTATTTGGGAGCTGGGTGGCAGATCCCCCAAAAATGCCAGAGTAAAAGAGTTAAAAGAAAATAACCAACAAGATCCCTACATTCACATGATGATGATAATTACTATTTTGGTTTTTTTGAGACAGGGTTTCTTTGTGTAGTGCGGGTTGTCCTGGAACTCACTCTGTAGACCAGGCTGGCCTCAAACATACAGAGATCCTCCTGCTTCTGCCTCCCAAGTACTAAGATTAAGGGCATGGGCCACTATTGCCTGACCAAAACTTTATTTTTAAAAGAAAACCCAACTTTCCTGAAAAATTATTTTAGGTATTTCAACATACTCTTTATAAAAATATGTAATTTTGGTTTTATATTGTCTAATTTATCTTTGGTTGACAGTGATAACAAGATCTAACATTAGTATATTTTCTGAATTAGATTTTTGCCTAAATTAGATAATTGCCTAAATTATAAACTGTCAAGGCAAACATTAACAACATTAATAACTGTTAAATGTCATAAAAACATGATGTGAAAATAGTAAGGGCCTATTTTATATTTTGTCAAAAACAATAAAGAAGCCAGCAGTGGTGGGGCACACTTTGCAGGTGGATCTCTGCCAGCCTGGTCTACAGAGAGAGCTCCAGGACAGCCAGGGCTGTTACAGACAGACCCTGTCTGGAAAAACAAAGCAAAGAAAAACCTAAACCATAAACAAATAAACAACCCAATAAAGTAAAAAGTAAAGTGAGAGTATACATGCCTATAATCCCACAATTTAGGAGGCTGAGGCAAGAAAATCAACTCCCAGGCCAGCCTAGGTTCTATGGTAAGACTCTAATCTCATATATAAAACAAAACAAAAACCAATAAATACTAAGTATGACCCAACACGTGATCCTACAAGAGTATTTCCTAACTTCTCAATAAATTAAACATTGGAGAAGACATTAAGACAGACACATGCTGTGGGATAACACTTTATATGCTGTGAATATGCTTTATTCACATTGGTTAATAAAATAGCTGATTTGGACTATGGTAAAGCAGGACAGAACCAAGCAAGAAATCCACCCAGTGATACAGGAGAAGGAAGACGGATGCCAGCTAGCTGCTGGAGCATCAAGGTACTAGACCACATGTAAAGCCAGGAGTCTCATGGCAATACATAAACAGAAATGGCTAATTTAAAAGTAGGAGCTAGTTAGCAATAATCCTGAGCAATAGGCTAAGCTGTTTGTGATTAATATTAAGCCTCTGAGTGATTATTTTTAAAAGCAGTTGCAGAACCTGGTGGGACAGAAAATTTACACACAAATTCCTGCTTTCAAGCACAAAATTATTGGAGGAAGTCTCCTTTATAAAGAAGGAGCAATTTGGGATTGGTTTGTAAACTAAGATTGTTATTAATTTAAATAAATTAAAAAAAAAAAAAAAAACAAGAAACATAGTGACCTCTACCCATAGACACAAGAAGCCAGATGAGCATGAGCTCATTAAATACTTTTTTAAAAAAAGTACTAGTTTAAGAAATTGGTGCGGAAGCCGGGCATTGGTGGCTCATGCCTTTAAGCCCAGCACTTGGGAGGAGGCAGAGGCAGGAGGATCTCTGTGAGTTCAAGGCCAGCCTGGTCTACAGAGCTATTTCTAGGACAGGCTCCAAAGAAATGCAAAGAAACCCTATCTAGAAAAGTAAAAAGAAAGAAAAAAGGAACTGGTGTGGAAGCCTCAAAATTCTGTATTGAAAAGGATGAGACAGGGAGGAAGAGCAGGTAAAAACAGGAACAGTGAAGGAGGGCAACAGAACAGTCTGTGTCCTTGGAGAGCTTAAGTAAGCTCCCAAAATTACTAAAGAAATAGGGTGCTGTTTAGAGAGACATTCATCTCTACAACTCAGCTAGAAAAGCTCATAATTTAACTTACTTAAACTTAAAATCTTTTTAAAGGTTTTTAAAAATAATTAGTTATACTTTATGTACATTGGTGTCAGATCCCCTGGAACTGGAGTTACAGACAATTGTGAACTGTCATGTGTGTCCTGAGAATTGAACCCAGGTCCTCTGAAAGAGCAGCCAGTGTTCTTAACCACTGAACCATCTCTCCGGCCCTTAAACTTAAAATCCTTAATTGACCCATTTAATAGTCATAACAGCCTGTAGCAGTCTACAATCCAGTAGATTATATTTTTAAAAACTTATTTCCTTAATTTTCATTTTCATACTATAATGTTGTGAATTTGTTCCTAACCAGAACAGTTTAGAAAGCATATGAACAACCTGGTCATTTGGGAGACTGTGCAGGTGGATAAGGTTTTTTTTTTTTTTAAATCCAAGTTAGGCTACATAGTGAGATCCTGTCTTAAGGAAAAACATAAAGATAATACAAAAATGATTGAGGTTTACTAAAGCACAGTCTTGAAAAACTTTCTTGGACCCAAATCATCTGTAAACACCCATATCAACTATATCATTGACACTGGGTATGGTAGCATACACTTTTAGTTCCAGCATTCAAAAGACAGAGGCAAGTGGATCTCTTTGAGTTCCAAGCCAGCAGAGGCTAGCTACACAGTGAGACTGAACCTCATTAAAAAAGAAAGAAAGAAAGAAAAAAAGGAAAAGCCAGATGTGGCAACACAATCTGCAACTCTACTATTCTTATAGAGGAAAATTGCCCAGAAATTCTAACCTGGGGTACAAGCACTACAGCAGCAGTAGAGAGATCCTGCCTCAACAAGATGAAAAGTGAGAACTAATTCCTGAAAGTTGTACACGTACATACATATACACACACACACACACACCACTCACTTTAAAAACACCGTTTTAAAAAACAAAACAGAAGAGGCCTACAACCTTAGAAAGATCCCTAGGAAAACACGGCAGGGTGATTTTTCAAAGGCTCAGGCACCATACCTTGGTCTCTTTGGAGCTGCTGGAAACCTTCCCTTCAGTCTTCTTCTGCTTTGAAGTGGAAGAACTATTCTTGCTGCTGCTGCTATTCTCCTTGTTGTTGGTACTGCTGGATTTTAAGGAAGAAGACTGACTGACAGTCCTCTTCCGAGAGCCATGCTCTGGTTTTGAATCTTTTGAAGGAACAGGCCCAGCAGGTGAAGGTAGCAAGTCCTTTTCTTTTGTACTACTCTGCTTAGATGACCTGCCAAACAAAACAAATGCCCTTATTTCTGCAGAGCGATATGGGAGTGAGGATATTTCCACTTCTTTCACCAGCTTTTAAGACAAATTTGCAAAGACATTCTCCATATGATTGCAAAACAAAAAGACTGTAAATTCTAGAGTTTCTTCCTATTTATTTCTGCCCCTTTTACTTGTTGCTTTCTCTTTTCCACAATCATGCCTAGTGCCTGAACAACCTGCCAAACAACACATATTCCAATGCTGGCTAGTTTTATGACAACTTGATACAGGCAAGAATCATTTGAGAGATGGGAACTTCAATTGAGAAAATGCTTTCATATATTTGGACTCAATGTGCATGATGCCTGGGCTGATGGTCCTGGGCTCTAGAAGAAAACAGCCACAGTAAACCATGCAGAACAAGTAAACCAGTAGCACCCCTCAATGGTCTCTGCCTCCTGGTTCCTGCCCCGTTTGAGTCCCTGTCCTGACTTAAGCTGAAATAATGAGGAAGCATAAGCCAAAAGAATTCTCTCCTCCCAATTTGTTTTTTGATCATGGTGTTTCATCACAGCAATAGTCATCTAACTAGGAAATCTCTTATTTAAAAAAAAAAAAAGGTTGCTTTCCATCTCTATTAGCTAAAAGCAAAGCTCTTGCTACTTTTGCATGTGCAGACTATATATGACATTCAGTCATTAAAAAAGAATACTCTGGCTGGGCATTGGTGGCACACACCTTTAGTCCTAGCACTTGGGGAGGCAGAAGTAGGCAGATCTCTTTTGAGTTTGAGGCCAGCCTGGTCTACAGAGTGAGTTCCAGGACAGGCTCCAAAATAATACAGAGAAATCCTGTCTCTCAAAAAAAAAAAAAAAAAAAAAAAAAAAAAAATACTCTTAAGTATGTCAAAAAGTACCCAACAACAAGTAGTCAATACTGGCATGCAACATGATTTGAGGACATACTCTCTGTTGCTGGATGGCTTGTGGCTTGATGAGTTCTTGTCCTCCGTTTTGGGTTTTTTGCTCTCACTGGCTCGGTTATCATCATCATTCTGGACAAAAACAAAAACAGTAGATTTTACACATGAGAAGGTATCCTGTATTAGATCCACACAGCCTAAAACACTATAACAGATCCCCTAGAGTTTAAGATGGTGTATCTTTTTTATGTAATAATTCTAGGATCAGATAGATTCACAGAAATGTAATTAAGGCGTAATTCAAAAACCATAAAATCCACCCTTACAAGAATATAATTCTATGGCATTTAGTTACTCAGAATTATACAGCCATCATCATAATCACTTTTAGAACATTTATCATCCTTCAAAGACACTCATGTCAGCAGTCAGTTCACAATTTCTTTTTCTCCAAAGCCCTGATAGTCCTTAATCTGCACATTCAGTCTTTCTAGACATCATATGTAAGTGGAATCCTATATTGCAGTCTTTGATACTTGACTCCTTTTTTAACATACTCTTTAAATGATTCATATCATTTATGGCTGAATAGTATTGTACCATATAGCTATAATGTATTTGATTTATTCTTAAGTTAATAACCAATTTTTTATTAATGTGAATGATATGGCTGTAAGCACTATAATAATAGTGTTTATATTTCCATTACTTTCTTGGATATATACCTGGGCCTATAATTGGTGGATCATAAGGTAACTGTATATTTAGCTTTTTTGAGAAACTGCCAACTGTGTTCCAAAGTAGCTGCATCTCACAGTTCTACTAGCACTGCATGGATATTCCAACTCTAACAGTTTCATCAGCACATGAACATACTGCTACTTGCTAACAGATATGCCTCACCATCTCTGAAAAATTCTTGGCCAAATCGAAAGTGTAAAGCCTAACTACGCTGATGTTATTTATATAGGCGAATCTAAGTTTTCCTCTTGCTTCACATAGTAAGCAACAAATAAATATTCTACCTCTATTGTAACAGAAGTCGGCTTGCCACCAAAAGATTAAAATTCAGATAAATGAAGACATGAGAAAAAGTCACCACCAACTGCTTGCCAGTGACTGGGTCTCTTCCCAGGATTATCAGCATAACCTCCAGGAATTGCCTGATACTTTACCAAAACAACATTTCAAAAATCCTAATTCTTGGGGAATGGATGGATAGATATCTCAGTGGTTAAGAGCCACTGGCTGCTTTTGTACAGGACCTGGGTTCTAAGGACCTACTTAGAAAGGACCTACTGGTGGCTCACAATCCTCTAACTCAAGTTCCAGGGGATCTAACACCCTCTTTTGACCTACTTGGGTACCAGGCACAATATGGTACACATACATATATACAGGCTCTACATAAAGCTGATCATATACTAAGCTTTGTCTTTAAATTATCTTGGAAGTTTTTAGGGATGAGGGTGGGCTTTGTTAGTGAAAACACACTTTCCATGTTGGAACTACATCCAGGACTCCACTGAGCTGCAGGGAATGTTCTTAGTTCTGACCTGTGTTAACGGAAAAAAGCTAAGCACATGGGTGTCTAGTGGATGGGTGAAATTTTCAAGGATGTATACGTCACAAAATTAGTGAGTCAGTTTTGCTCACATTAGGCCAGTAATAAAGTATGGCTTCACCAGATTGTAAGACACTACATTACATTCTAACTCCAGTGTTGAATGTTTGTCCTAACCTCCTAGCCTCCATATTTTTTTTTTTTTTTTTAAAGCCTACAGCACTGGGCCTCACTTTTAACCTGACCACACACTCTGCCTAGAAATCCTGACTATTCAAAAAAAATCATCCTGCATTACTTAAGAAGATAGAGCACAGAGAAATTGTTCCATAGTTAGTCTCAATGAGGCCTTGGGTTCAAACTATTTTCCCATATAGCCCATTATCCACAAACTGTACTTCCATAGCTTTTCATATACTGGTGTCTAAAAATGAACAAACAGGGCTGGCAAGTTATCTCAGCGGGTGAAGTCTGACAACCTGAGCTCAATCCTTGATCTACATGATAGAAGGAAAGAATCAAATCTCAAAAGCTGTTCTCTGACTTCCAGACATGCACAACAGTGACTATGTAATGTAAAGGCAAAATAGCAAGTACTTAGGGATAGAGATGGCTCAGCAGTTAAGGGCACTTGCTAATCTTCCAGCAGGATTAAAGTTTGGATTCCAGTAACCAAGTCAGGCAGCTCACAACTAACTGGTTCCAGGAAATTTGACATTCTCTACTGGCCTCCAAAGAAACATACACAGGCATAAGTACATAGACACACCAAAAACAGACACACTCACACACACAGCATATAACTAGTGTTTTAATATCAAGATGTTTAAAGACATGGGAAGTGAGAACAAAATTATTTCTTTAAAATAAAAAAAGAAAAGAAAAGAAAAGAAGAACCACACCCCCGTACAGACCTTGTGTTTCCTCTTGCCTTTGTTGGAAGCCTTTTCTGAGGTTTGCTTCTGCACCTCTCTCACATGTTTTTCTGGCACATTTTTCTTTTCCCCCTTGGGTGGTTCTGTTTCTTTGTAAGGCTTTCCCGGTATCCTAGTCAAGAGATTCAGGTCAATCTTCACAATAAGTGGATACCTGTCATCGGGCTCACTGAGTGGGGAAAGGAGCTCCTTCTCTTCCATAGGAGAGAACATTCGTTGCCGAAAAAAGCTATCTTCTTCCTCCACGGAGGAGGGCTTGACAGGAGTCCTATTGCTTTCGGGGTACTTAGGAGTCTGTGAGGAAGGAGGGGGGCTCTCACTCTCATCTGACTCTGACGACGAGGTATCTGTTTCTATGATTTCCCGAGATTTCTGGGAGGATTTACTCGATGACTTGTATTTCTTTTTTTCTGCTGTAGGTCGAGGAGAAGATTTCGACTCCTTTTTGATGTTGGGTTTCCTTGAGCCCTTGGTGGCTGCTTTGTGCCTGCTGGAGGGCATGCTAGTGGCCATGTCTACAGGGGTTTCACTTTCTATCTTCAGTCCTCCACGGGGCTCTTCAGCAGCTGACTTCTCAGTTTTTTTGGGTTGTTTTTTGCCTACAGTTCTCCTCTGTGCGGTGCTGTCACTCTGTGCAGGAGACTTTTGCCTCCCACGTCCACTTTCTGATCCCTTTTGGATGGTTTTAGAGTCTCGTCCTGGAGTAGCAGAACTTGATTCTTTTGGCCCTCCAGGATCAGTGTAGTTATTTCCAGCACCCTGTTCTCGGCCTTCTTTTTTGTATGCTTGAGACGATGGGATGTTACTGTCTACAGAAGAAGCTGGGGACACTTTATGTGGGTTCACTTTGTTCAACCAATTATCAAGTTGCCATTTGTTTGTTGGGGGTGGTTCAGGCTGGGGGGGAACAGAGAAATACACAGACATAGGTTTTTCACCCCAATATTGAAGATTCCATCCTCTTTAGAAAGTCAAGTCAGAGGACAAAGAATAATATTTAAGGTAACAAGCATTTGTTTGCCAAGTGTCTGCCAGGATTAAAGCATAGGTAAAATACTATTAGCTCTAGTCACTTGGCCTCCTGAGTGCTGGATTACAGCTGGAGTCACCATGGACAGCTTATTACAAATGGCCTTTAAATAACCAATATTCCAGTTAGGAGTTCAATTTGAAAGGTACTGTTCAAATGAGTGGATATCATGAAAGAGCTTGACGGCTATGGAGGCCCTCCCATCTCACCTCAGGAGATGCATTCTGTGATGGCTCATTTGCCTCACTGTCACTGGAGCTACTTTCACTCTCCGAGTCAGAGCCGGAGCTGCTTTCAGATCCACTGTGGCTGCTCGAGTCATCCCTGGAGTTATCTGCTCCCTCACTATTATGATGTGAAGGTTCAGAGTTACTAAAGGAGGTAAAATAAAAATGATAAATTTCCTTTACAACAGCAATGCCAACCCATCCGAACGAGACAACAACCTTAGCAATAATGTATGCTACGCTGTTACATTTAAAGGAATCAAAAGTTTCTGATATATCACTCACCTACTAATACTCACTTTTAACATACCTTAAAATTCACCCAGTCTGAGTACATACTTTAATAAATTTTAATTTACAGAACTATACAACCACCAACACAGCTGGCATTATTTATGATATCCCACAGTGTTAAATCAAACTAATCTCAGCCACCAAAACATCAAAACCACAAAATAAAAGGATCTCTACCTTCCTGGTGTACTTCTTGGCATTGTCTTATCACAATCCTAAAAGTGAAGCAAAAGAAATCTAAGAAATGACGAATAATATGAATGTCTGAATTAAAAAACAAAAACTGGCTTTAACACACGAATCAATGTTTACTTAATACAGAGTTTAAAAAGCAAACAAACAAAAAACAGTACACCATAGCACTCAGAAGATGGGAACAGTGAGATCATGAGATCATGAGACTGAGGCCAGCCTGGGCTACTTGGTGAAATACTGCCTCAAAACATAATAACCAAAACACCACAAATAACAACAAGCCAGGATCCAGTCTTTACTTAAAGAAGTAGTGCTTACTCAAACCACCATAGCACTATTACTAAAAAAGAAAAAGAAAGAAAAAAAGCTCTAGGATAGCACTTACAAAATTTAGGAGTTGGAGAGATGGCTGGTCAGTAAAGAGCACTGGTTGCTCTTGCAGAGGACTCCCAGCATGTACATAACGCTCACAAACCAACTGTAACTCCAGTTCCAGAGTATCCATATATATTAACTTTTTTTTATTTTGTAAATATTTATTTAAGCTACCTCCTGCAAAAGTATGCTCTGGTCCACAATAAGTGTTAAGGAAAAGTCAATATTTTTAAAAAGGGTGAGGGTGGTGGGGGGCTAGAGAGATGGCTCATTGGTTAAGAACTATGCCTGTTCTTCCAGAGGACTGGGGTTCAATTCCCAGCACCTACATGGCAGCTCACAACTGTCTGTAGCTGCAGTTCCAGGGGATCTGACATCTTCACACTAAAGCACATGAAATTAAAAATTGAATAAATTATTTTTTTAAAAAGGAAGCATAATCATTCAGTGTAAGAACGCTCTCATGAGAAGGTAGAGACCTCACACTAGGACACAATGAAACGGTAAAGGGCTGTATAGCAGACACACCTGTTCCCCATCACTGTCTTCACTGCTGCTGAGTTTTAAGTCATCCTTTAACATACTGAAGGAAAAAGGCAGAAGGGAGCATTAATTAATCATAGCAAGCCAGAGTACTGAGTATTTACCAATAATCCTAAGAGCAATCGTTAGCCAAAAATTTAATTAAAACACACATGTACACACTCTGCTGTTTATGTTTTTCACATTCTAGTAAAAAATTCAAAAGGAGGAAATTAGCCATTTTTATAACCTAAACTTTCCACACATTTAAAAAAAAAAAAATTAAGCCAGGTGGTAGTACACACCTTTTAATCCTGGCACTGGGAGGCAGAGGCAGGTTCATCTCTGGAATTTGAGACCAGCCTGGTCTACAGAGTGAGTTCCAGGACAGCCAGGGCCACACAGAGAAACACTGTATCAAAAAATAAAAACTTTAAAAAGGAAAAATTTAGTGCTCTGCAAAGACAGCAGTACTCATGGCAGGAACAAACGGCTGTAACAATTCAATAGTTAAACCCTCATATACACTCCTGTTACAACACACTTATCTCTAATTGTACACAGGCATGTATACTAAAATAATCAATAACGCTTTGTTCTACCAGACATGACTCCTAAAGAAAAGGAAGATAAAAATCAAAGCATCAAGTGATCCCTTCTTTGTCTCCAATGGGCCATGAAGAGAAAGACCTGAGTAACTTCTGGCAATTGCATAACTGAAAGCCATAACATAATTTCCTGAGTAGTTCTGATTCATAATTGCCTTGCTATTAAGACAAGTGACACCAGCAGATTCTGGGGTAAGAAATGACTGTTTGAATTTGTAAATCTAAGTTCCAAACCTTCCTTTATCAAAAGTCAAAATGAATTAAAAATATATAAATACAATAAAATGACAATTTCTACAATTTGCTTTGAAAGTGAAATCAAAAACTTAAGTTTTCCTAAATTTTAAAATCATTAGGTTTAAAATCTGAATAACACAAAAAATTCTGTGATTCTGTGTTTTGTGGGTTTTGTTTTTGTTTTTTTCTTTCCATGAAGGAAAAATTAACAAAATTTGGGAGATCTGTACCTAGAAAATGTTTACTTCCTCAATACCAGTAGTTCATTACCTCTCTTTTTAAAGTGTGAGTCTCCAATATGTAGAAAGAAGTCTTCTTTCACGGCAGTAACTACTTACACTCTCTCCTCAAAACCTAAACTGCATCCCTAAATTTGACCACAAATTCAAAACACACACACACACACAAAATCACCTGAAATAAAGTAACCAGATTACTATATGAGAAGTGTTTTAAAAGTAATTCAGTAAAAAAATTTTTTAAAAGTTTTCTTTTGAACAAGGGCTTAGCATATCTCTATGACTGATTTCCAGTAAGGAAAATGTACTTACTCTAAATTCTCTCAGCCCTTATGATTTAATAATGGCAGCTCAATGAACCTGTTTACATATGTGAGTATGTCAAAGTCTTTAAGACACTGCTCTACGTCCAGCATGTTTTTGTTTCCTCAGCAACCAAATGGTATGCCCATACATAGCAGACACGCATTATTAGTTTTGGGCATAAAGATATGATTACAGGGATATAGTGAGTTTCTCAGCAGTGTGTGGAAGTTGATTTTGTTCATATATTTACTTCTCAGTCTTCCTTTTATTAAATGAAGAGGCTATTAGGCTGAGGTTAGTGCTGTGGTCTGTGGCTGTGGCATAGGAAGCTACATAATGTCTATTTCTTTGGAACTTTGCTCTAATCACTGAATTAACCTGTGATCTCAAGATTTCAGGTGCTCACTCTAAATGTAATTTATTATCATCTAATACACCTGCCCCTCTATTGTGATACATATTCTGATTCTACATATAAAATATAATAAAAATATGAAAACTTAAAGACAGCATAAACAATGTTGCATTTGGTGCAAAACAGAAGGTTTACTAAAAAGAATCTTATCTTTAACACATTTTTTAAAAATTAAATGTGCCATGCTGGTACACACCTTTAATCCCAGTGCTCACAAGGCAGAGGCAGGCAGGTCTTTATGCATTCAAAGCCAATCTGGTCTACAGATTGGTTATGCTTGTTTTGTAGCCCTAGTTGGCTTTAAACTCATGGCAATCCTCCTGACTCAACATTCTGAATGCTATGATTATAGACATGTATTTCCATAGCCAGTTTTCCATTGCTGTTTTATAAATAATTTTTTTATTGGACTGAAGAGCTTGCTCACTAGAATGGTACTTGTCTAACATGTGAAAGAACGTGGATCTCTATCACTACAAAAAGGAGAAAACTCAGATATAATGGCACTTGCCTATATATAATCTGAATACTTGTGAGGCAGAGGCAAGAGGAGCAAGTTCATGTCAGACCTACATACATATGGTGAGTTTGAGGACAGCATAGACACCATGAGACTTGGTCTCAAAAAACAAAACCAACAAAGTTAGTGTTATTAGATAGAACACAGCCATGTCTGTGGTTTATACAGCTTTTATACTGTAATGACAAAACTGAGTACTTAGGACATAAAATTTACAATACGCTCTCTGGTCCTTTACAAGTAAAGCTAGCTTATGTCTGCCATAAAACATTAGTGTTTCTGTGTGGGGATGTATAGTCCAATAGTAAAGTGTTAGCTTAGCATGCACAAGGCCTCTGGTTTCACACTGAAAATCAGAGAATTCAATGAAATGCTTTAGGGGGGGCTGGACGTTGGTAGTTCACACCTTTAATCCCAGCACTTGGGAGGCAGAGGCAGAGGCAGGAGGATCTCTGTGAGTTTGAGGCCAGCCTGATGTACAGAGTGAGTTGCAGGACAGGCTCTTAAGCAATACAGAGAAACTCTGTGTTGAAAAACAAAAACCACAAAAAACAAAACAAAAGAAATGGTTCAGGGGGTAAAGGGGCTTGCCACTATGCCCAACAACCTGAACTTAAGCCTAGACCAGAAGGTGACTTCTACAAGCTGTCCTCTGACATCCACATGCATACATGTACACATACAAAATAAATGGTTAATTTAGATTTTTAAAAAACAAAAGGTAAGCTGGGTGGTGGTGACGCACACACACTCCTTTAAGCCCAGGACTCGGGAGGCAGAAGCAGGCAGATCTCTGTGAGTTCTAGGCGAGCCTGATCTACAGAGTGAGTTCCAGGACAGGCTCCAAAGTTATACAGAGAAGCCCTATCTCAAAAGACAAACAAACAAACAAAAATCCAGCTATTACAGATAACGTCTAGGAAAAGAAAAATACCCATGAAGCAGTAAACTTACGATTTTGACTGGTGTCCATTTGATGATTTAGCAGAAGCATTGTATCTTTCTAAAACAAAAAGATACAGAAGTGAGCAAATGAAACTGGTTAGATTGTAAAATGTTTATACAAAATGCCTGCCTTCCAAAATATAAATCAAAATGAATACATTGCACACAATGGACATGAGACATGAGCATTCTTATAAGCAATGATTCTTCTACAGCCATTTTAGAAAACATTACCTTATAAATACTGTAATTATCCTGCTACCTATCTAGTTCAATGAAAGGAATCTACCCAGTATCTGAAGGAATGCTCACACATACATATAGACATAATATTAATTATAATATGGCTTACCTGCTGGTGGTGGCACACACCTTTAATCTTAGCACTTGGGAGGCAGAGAAAGGTGAATCTCTATGCGTTAAAGGCCAGCCTGGTCTACAGAGCTAGTTCCCAGACAGCCAGGGCTGTTACACAGAGACCCTGTCTCAAAAACCATAATAATAACAATGCTTTATTCATATTTTTTTGGAGACAGGGTCACACTACATAGACCAGGCTGGTCCAAATTCACAATACAGAGCCTGGACTGGTCTTGAACTTGCAATCTTTCTGTCTCAGCTGCCCCAAAGTCAGGGTTATAAGTATGTGTCACCACATCTAGCATTACAATAGCACAGCTTTAACAAAACAAGTTAGGAAATAAAACTACATGTCCATTAGTATAATGCTAATTAAATAACTAGTTATTTCATATAAGATGACTTTAATATTACAAAAGAGTAAACTAGAGTTACATAGTGATAACCATTTAAAATAAATCCAGTATTGGGGTAAAGCAGTGCAAAAACTCTGGGAATGGCCAACTAATGACTAGCATAGCTGGAGGTCCATGCCTTGAGAGGGAGCTTATCCCCCGAGGGCCAGGACCACTCCATATAAATAAATCCAGTGAAGAATACAAAGTAATAATAATTTTTAAAAAAAGATCAAGTTTATGATCCCATTTGCCATAATTAAACACTGGGGAAGTAAATGAAGGTAGAACAAAAATGAGGAGATTTTAGGAGAAAATAAAAAGCTGGGTGTGGTAGTGAATGCCTTTAATCCTAGCACTCCAGACACAAAGGCAGAAAGATCTCTTTCTGAGTATTAGGACAGCCAAGGCTACACAGTGAAACCCTCCTTCAAAAACCACCATCACATCCCTTTTACCTGTAAGTACAGTTGTAGAGTAGAACTAAATAGACATACAAATTTAAAGTTTGACTGCTATAAGTTGTCATGGCATTCCCATGCCTTCTATGTACATGATAAGTATGTAAACATAGGAATTTTTGTTTTTGTTGTGACAAGATTTCTCTGAAACACCTCTAGCTGTCCAGGAACTTACTCTGTAGACAAAGAGATAAATTCTTGTTTTATCTCTTGCACTATAATCATACACACAAAGACACACACAGATACCACTCAAAACAAACTAGCAAAAGGTCAAAAAACTTATTTTTATCTTTCAGAATACTCTTAGACCAACCTAAATCTACCTAATAAACTCTTGTTCACAGAATACCTGTTTTTGTCCCAGAGTATATACACATCAGTATTCAAACACCTGCCATGCCCTGACCTCACCATCAGTAATCTGCACATTCTTGGCTCTACATATTCTCTGCAGCCATCTTCCACAAGAGCTCTGAGAAGTGAAGAGTGGGGGTGAAAGTGAGGCTGCAGAGGGCACCAGGCTCTCTATCCAGATCAGAAGACTCAGGAAGAATGAATAGGGAATGCATAAAGAGCCTGTGCTAACATGGCCATTCCTGCCTACAGTTTTATCACCACAAAACCAGTACCATAAAGGAAGTGGAAAGACAGAATAGTTCTTGAACTTCCTGAGATACCCAACAAATTGATTTTATAAAATTTCAACTATTAATTCAAATAAGTAAGTGTATTTTGATTTCGTTTGTTTGTTTGTTTTTGAGACAGGGTCTCTCTCTACATAGGCCTAGCTAGGCTAACTTTCATTCCCTAGACCAGGCTGGCCTTAAACTCAGAGATTAGATTGCCCTACATCCCCAGTGCTAGGATTAAAGGCATGTGTCATGATGCCCAGCTTATTTTGATTTTTTGTTTTTGTTTTTTGAGACAGGGTTTCTCTGTATTGCTTAGGAAGCTATCCTAGAACTAGCTGTGTAGACCAGGCTGGCCTTAAACTCACAGAAATCCACCAGCCTCTGCCTCCTGAGTGATGGGATTAAAAAGCGTGAGCCACCAGCACCCAGCCTTATTTTGATTTTTAATGACCTATAGTTCTTGAGTTTTCTTAAGACTCGGCTCATCTTGCTATATTTTTTTTATCAGATCATAAAATCAGAGTCAGACATGTAAAAAAAAGCTAAAAGTACTGTAAGGGGAGGCTATATTTAAAAAGGCCCAATATGTAGGTTAATTTAAAAACCAGCAAGAAAAGAAATACTTACTTTGTTCTCCAGGGCCAAAGTTAGATTGCTGAGACTCCTAAGAGAAAGGAACACAAAATTATACAAAGTGATGGCATGAGAAAGATCCATTAGTTGGGAAAAATTCCAAGTGATAAAAATGCTTCAGCATATATGAAAGAGGAAAATACTAAAAGAATGCAATGGCTACATCTATAACAACAGACTCCACCAGAGCTTACCGAATAGCACAAAAAACCCCCAAGAGTCTCCCATTTCTTTTCAGAAGCACCCATAATACTCATAATCCAACTCAGAGATCTATAGAGTTCAAATAACTTTAAGATTCTTGGATTTGGGGCTAGAAAGATGTCTCAGTGTTAAGAACAAGCTCTTGCTGAGGATCTGAGTTTAGTTCTTGGCGCCCATCTATGTTGGGTGGATCATAACCCTCAGTAACGTCAGTTCTAAGGGATACAACACCCTCTCATATAGTCTTCTTGAGCGCCCAAGGTCATTTGCAGATCACACACACACACACACTTTTAATTAAAATCTTTGTTTATGGGTCTTGAGAAATTCTTGGACTACAGATGTGAATAAATAGCAGACAGCACTTGCTTATTACTATACTCAAGGTCTGGGGTTCAAGTAACCAAAAGAAAAAAGAAAAAGCTCAATTTTAAAAAAGAACTAGGGATTTAGATCAGTTGGTAGTACTTGTCTAGCATACATGAACCCTGGGTTTAATCCTCCAAACCCCATAAATCAAGTGCTATGGCTCATAACTGTAGCATCAGCACCTTGGAGGTAGAGGCTGGAAAACTGGGAATTGAAAGGCATCCTCAGCTACATAATGAGTTCAAGGATAACCTGTGCTACATAAGAGCCTGTCTCAAAAAAAAAAAAAAAAGTAGATAAAAATAGCTGTGCAATCAATAATACATTCAAAATATACTACTTCCCTACTAAAAGATAAAGTCTCCATATGGGTTTCCATGCCACTCTACTCCAGTCCCAGATTCTGTCCCTATTATCTTAAAACCATTAACATTGTGAAGAAAACACTGCCACATACTTTTATTATTTGTTTGTTGTTCTTTTGAGATATGCAGCTCTGGCTGATCTAAAATTTTATATAGACCATGCTGCCCTCAATATCAGAGATCTTCCTGTCTCTCCTCTCCCACACCCTGCACAATTTTTCCCCCCAAGATAGAGTTTCTTTTTGTAACAGCCCTAGCTGTCCCAAAACTAGATCTGTAGACGGGGCTGTCCTAGAACACACAGAGATCACCTGCCTCTGCCTCCCAAGTGCTGGGATTAAAGGTGTGCTCCACTACTGCCCAGCTCATACTTTTCTTTTTGTTAACGTTCCACAATAGTACAGAAATTGGCACTAGAGAAGCCTTAGCAAAACAGAAACATAACTTTCCAAATAACTTCATGTGCAAAGTGTGTTTTTCCAGGATATGTCTGTGCTATAAGATATAATGTCGGGACTGGAAAGATGGCTCAGTAGTTAAGAGCACTGACTGCTCTTCAGGAGGACCTGGGTTTAGTTCCCAGCAACCACATGGCAGATCAAAACTGTCTGTACCTCCAGTTCCAGCAGACCCGACACCCTCACACAACCATACAAGCAAGATACCAATAAAATAAAATAAATATTTTTTAAAAAAGATATAATGTCAAATTATGCACAGACCCATATACAGTCTACTTAAAAATAGGCATAATCTTCCTTTAATAACAGAATTTTCTGGGAAAAACCAACTCAAATAATAAGAAAGCTAAAATGTATATCTGCTGTTAAAAAGAAGTCAAGTAATTTTCAAAATGATGACAAGATCACTCAATGAAGAAATAATCTTTTCAACAATTGTGTCAGGACAACCAAAGAGCCACAGCCAAAAGAATGAAGTTAATGAAAAGGCTAAAGAATACAGTGCTAACTCTTAATGACTTCCCATTTAGCAGTGAATTCCTATTGTAAGGCATCAGATACACACACACACACACACACACACAAAAAAAAAAAAACAGATCAACTAGATTTCAGAGACAGAGGAAGGTAGATCTCTGTGAGTTCGAGATCAGCCTGGTCTACAGGATGAGTTCCAGAACTACTTGGGAGGTTATACAGAGAAACCCTGTTCCCCCCCCACACACACAAAAAAAAATCAAAAACAAAAAACAAAAAAACAAAACTAACCAACCAACTAAACAAACAAGCAAATAAAAATTCAGTTTCTGTAACTGGCTCCCATAAGATCATAGGGAGTAGCACTATTAGGAGTTATGGCTTATTTGAGTAAGTATAGCCTTGTTGGAGGAAGTATATCACTGTGGGAATGGGCTTTGAGGTTTTCTATGTTCAAGATACCACCCAGTGCCACAGTCAACTTCCTGTTGCCTGCAAGATAAAGGACTCCAGCTACTTCTCCAAACCATGAGTGCCTGCACACCGCCATGCTTCCCACCATGATAATGGACTGAACCTCTGAACTGTAAGCCACTACTTCAATTAAATGTTTTCCATTACAGAGTTGCTGTGGCCATCATTTCTCTTCACAACAATAGAAATCAAAACTAAGACATTCTCCAAAACGAAAGAGAGAAAGAAAAAACTAACAGCACAGAATTCTGATCACCGATTCCTTTCTCTCACCTTTGACAGTCAGCTAGTCACAAAACATTTCTATATTCTGTCTCTAAAACACCACCAAGCTGGGGGGTGGTGGCACACAGCTTTATTCCTAGCACTCAGGAGGCACAGTGTTCACCAGCCTGGTTTACAAAGTTGAGTTCCACGACAGCCTGGACTGTAACACAGATAAACCCTGTATTGTCTTGGAAACAAAAACAAAAAAACAAATCACCACCAAAATGAAAAACTACCTCATCTCCTTCAGGCTATCTTTGTTTTTTCATCTAGGATGGCTATGTAATGGATCTTCTTTATTGAAATGCCCTCCCCTTTCACTCAACTATAGCTTCCATTCTGTGTTTTGCAAACCCAAGTCTTAATGTGTCATCATGGCTTTCCTATTTTTCATTCAACGTACCATCATTCTTTGGTTTCCTTAGGTATAACCCTCAACTGTCTTTTGGAGACAAAGTAGTCAAGGATGACCTTGATCTCCTTGACTGTCTCAACCCTAAATAAGGGCTAGGATTGCAGGCCACCTTTGCATCACATTCAGTAAAACAAAAAGAGAGGACATTAGCCCTATGAAAGACCTATTCTCAATGACTCCACTACCAATGAAAATAAATGCAGAATGAAAATGTGCTAGGTATCAAAAACAGTATTTAATATAAGCGCTCACTACTGCTGAATAAGAGAGATGGCTCAGCAGTTTGAGTTCCAGCACTGACATGGCAGTTCAAACTGTAACTTCAGTTCCAGTGAATCTCATGCCCTCTTCCAGCCTCTAATGGCATTAAAGACATGTGGTACACATGCACAGAGATATATAGCGACAAAACACACATACAAAGTTAGAAAAGAAACAAGACTAGGGGGCTAGCAAGATGGCTATGTGAATAAAATTGCTTGCTGCCAAGCCTGACAACCTGAGTTCCATCCCTGGCACCCAGATAGTGGAAGAACTAACCCCCAGTAGTTGCTCTCTGACAATAAATAAATGTAATATAAAAAAGTAAAGATCTGGCATCACAATGTATACTTTAATCCCAGCACTTGGGAGGCAGAAGTAGGGAGAATCTCTGTTGAGTTCTAACCCAGCCTGGTCTATATAATGTTCTAGGCTATCCATGACTACATAGTGAGAGACCATGTCTAAAGAAATTAATAAAAATCCACAATGCATTCAAACTCAGGAGAAAAGAAGTGGGGGGGGGGGAGAGTAGCACATATAATAAAAACCCGAAAACAGATATTGGGATTCAAACTGAAGATCTGATAGCAAAGCAGCCAACCACTAATGAGCTCTTACCTCTACCAAGGCTCAGACCAAAGCGGGGTGATCCCGTCCTCAGTGTGGCTGTAGACTTAATACCCTGAATTCCTGTCTCCATCCATCTCATATTCCTCTCTAATGCTGGGATTAAAGGTGGGCACCCACCCCACCGCCCAGCTTCTATGGTGACTAGTGTGGCTGCTGGGATTAAAGGTGTGTGCTACCACTGTCTGGCTTCTATACCTAACTAGTGTGGCAAGCTTTATTTGTTGGATCATAAAATATTACCACAGGAGAGTGAGTCCTAGTCTTTTCCAGGCACTGGGAGCTCTAGTGCACAAAGCTGTGCCTAGCTGTGGTGGTTGCAGCTGTTTTGGTTGTAGTGTATTTGCTAGTTTTTGTTTTTGTTTTGTTTGAGGCATGTCTCAGATAGATCACAATGACAAACTTGCTATTTACTCAGGGATGACCTTGAACTCCTTATTCTCCTGACTATAGATCTCAAGTACTGGGATTACAGGCATGAATCAATAGCCTAGCACAAATTTAGGAGCGTTTAAGTAAACTATAAAAACACTAAAAATCCAAGCATGATGGTACAACTCCTTTAATCTAGCCATTCAGTGGATTTTTGTAAGTTCAAAGTCAGCCTGAACTACACAGTGAGTTCCTGGGCTGTAGATCTACAGTCTGTCTCAAAAACATATTACCCCCTCCAATATGTTCCTAAGCTTGAAACTCCCTACCTCTTGTTTCTACAAATGACTTCCAAATTATCAATGGTGTAAAAGCCATTTTGGTGTGCTTATTACTGGCACTCTACTGCTTCTTCACACTCTATCTGATATCTCTTCTAGGATGCTATCCCCAAATTCCCTAGGTTTTTGTTTTTGTTCTTTTTTTCCCCAAATTCCCTAGGTTTAACAACATTCTCTTTCTTTCCTGTCACTGGAGCTCACACAGTTAATCTACAAAACTCTACATAGCAAATAGAGCTTCACAAAAAGCTTTAAACTGTATTACACACATTACCTGATATGTACAGATATGTATATCATCTCTACCTGAATTCAGCCAATGAATGGCTATTATGTGCATAACACTAGTCTGGTATAAGCATGTACTATTTCTTCTTCCTTCTTATTTGTTTTGT